GTAAATTTTTTGATGTATTTTGTCCGCAGGCTCTAATTAGAGTATTTTTTTTTTAAATTACATTTTATTATTACATTTTGAAACTTAGTTTAAAAAGTTTATTAACTGCCCTTAAAAATCTAATCTAAAACATTAAAAAAATTGAATCGGCTACTGAAAACAGTAGTAGAAAAATGGCATTTTACAAGGACCTTGCATCACTAAATATCAATTATTTCAAAAAAGGGCGAAAAGGGCGGCTAAATTTTTCACAAATATTTTTTAGAGCATGTATAGCGTTATTAAATGATGAGACCACATTGTAAAGAATTGTAATTTAGTTTTCCTGTTCCACCAAAGTTGAAACATTTGATTATTTTGTAATATTTTTTTATATTTTGGCCTTACTTGCACAACTGCATTCAAATTTTTCTTAAAATACTTCAACGATCAAAAGCTAGTCTCAAGGACCTTTCCATCGATGTATACATGTCTGGAAAAATATTAAAGTATTTCCATATAAATTGGACGAAACATCACCTATAAAAGTTCTTTTGAAGCACACTTTTGTCCAAATAGTTTAACTTTGAATATAAATATTTCATAATTAATATTTTAATTTTTTTTTTACTTTTTAACATATTCATAGTAATTGCTTTAGCTTTTTAATTTACCACTTGAAAATCCAAAAAAATTAATTAATTTTTTTAATTTTGTTGTCCCTTCTTCCCATTGTGCGCTGTACTCTATCTAACTTTAAAAAAAAATATTCAATTTATAGATATTTATGAGGAAAAATCCAACATTAAAAATCCAGGGGTGCATGTTTAGACCTAGGGTGATGAAAACCCTGTTAAAAATATTAATAATAAGAGGACCGAGGGGCCCTGGCCCTCCACTTGCCAATTTTTAAATATAAAACATAAGTATAACATAAAATATACAAATTTTTGTTTATATCTCCCCCCCCCCCCATCTTCCCAAGTAATACGGAATACATACGGGATACTATAACAACACTTACTCAACTTTAACTTAAACAACACTCTCACAACTCTAACTTAATCACTGAATAAAACTCCCCTCTTAAATACCATTCTTCAACACTGGACATTTGTCCAAATATTATACATTATCTAGCACTCTCTTTCACTTATATAAAATATTTCCTCCTTCTCTTAAGGTATTGACGCCTGATGTTTCCAACAAGTGGTGGAACTTTAATAGCTTCTACTTTTAAACAAGAAAAATTCCACTACAAAAATATACAAATGTGCCAACAGTAAATAATAATACCAACTCAAAGTGATAAATATACAAATTTGCAAACTGACATGCAAAAATGACAGCTTAGGAAGGGGGGAAGGGGTGAGGCACCTCAAAACCCCCTATCGGGACGGCCCTGAGTCTAGGTACCTTTCAAGGATTGCAACGCATATTTCTTTGTTTAGAGGGTGGAGGAAGGAGGGGGGGATGTAATCAAAAAATTTAAATATATTTGCATATTTTATGCTAGATTTATATTTTATGATAAAAATTTGGCAAGTTACCACAGCCCCTCGGCCCTCTTGTTATCAATATTTTTAATAAAGTTTTGAACACCCTCGTTTAGTCTTAAAATTCACTCTTAGATTTTTAAAACGGTTAATTTTTCATTTATTAATAAATATCTATATGATGGCGTTATTTTTTTAAGTCGGTTAATTTGCAACAAGAGGGTCGGTTTATGACACAGTGTTTTCGTTTGATAACTTTCCGTCCCTACCTAAGACCTCCTTATTATTGAAAAGATTGGAGCTAAAATATATTATAAATTATCGGGGGGTATGTATAAGGTTGTTTCAAATCATAACACACTACTTTTTCTACAAGCGATTTCCCATTTTATTTAACTCCCTGTACAATTTAAGTTGATAGTCTGCGAAATGTTTGACACTAAAACGGTATTAAATATAAAATATAGACTGGGGTAAAACGTAATCTTCTAAAAAAAATAATATTAATTATAAATTATAAGGTGTGGCGTTAATAACAAATTGTACACTCAGTTTAGACTATTACAGATCTCTTAAGGCTATTACAGCCTTATGGTTCCATATAAGTGGTGGAACTTTAATAGTTTCCACTGGGAAAGAATAGGCAAAAATAAATAAAAAATAGTCCCTGGTTATTTTTTCGTTACCTGATACCGAAGTTAAATGGCTATTATTCCAACATACACGCAAAGTACTTGAATGCAGGGTTCTTAATGCACCAACTGATGTATTTTATTGGCTAAATCATACACAGTTTGCAATGATTTAACTACATAAGTAATTTTTTACTACAAATTAATAAGGGATAAGGGCAGCGGGTGTGCATGTATTGACTAAATAGACGCAGCGTAAAGTATGTACATAGACTTATGGCTTTGGTTTATGTCTGTTTGTCCCCAAACCTTTAATGGCAAAATACTAACTTTGTAAAATCATTGTGAGTGGGATATGATTTAAAAATGTGTGATAATCTAGATTGGTAACTTTGTACTTGTATTGACACATTTGGTGAGCCACAGGCCGGATTAAGGTTCTTGTGGGCCGGATGCTGAAAAATATTTACGGCCCCATTCCTAAAAAAATGAATGAAGAAAAAGCATATATATGAAATATTTATAGAATTTATACAGAAATTAATATATACTTTGAAATTGGGGGCCCTGCTATTCCACCAATTTTTATAGGCCGGGCACCTCTTAGGAGCGCTAGTTTTTCAGACATTGCCTATAGACAAAAACTTCTTCGTTTAATTTCTTGGTAAATTTTTTTTCCAGTTTCTGCAAACCTATAATAAACTTGGTTGCCCTTTGGATTTTTTCTACCCTATTGCGACATCTCTTTGTATTAGCATGCGAGGAATTGCTTTATCCTCACGGCCACGAACAATTTTTGAACTTTGAAAATTAAATTTATATATACAGTAGAATCCATTTGACTCATTTATTTTTACTAAGTAAAAGTAAAAAAAATAGACTTTTAAAAGACTATTACTAAGTCGGACAAATTTTAAGTTCCCCTTGAACTTTCTAAACCTACCGAGAATCAGATGTCAGACTATAACATTCCCGACGGAATATTATAGGGGTTTTATTATAACGGGGTTCTACTGTACTTATTTTCTAGCGTATATGTAAACTGATAAAATATATAAGAAATTTTAATTATTTATTCATTTTATTCATATAATTACTTAATTCATTAATATAATGTAAGTAATAAATCATCAAGTCGGTCCGTAAATATTTTACAAGTAAAAGAAAACTGGTATAGTAAAGTGTATAGTAACTTTTAGTATACCAAGTATACGGTAAACTTACTATACAGTATACTGTAACCAGCGATTCCATATGCGGGAAAAAAAATAATTAAAAGTTGCATTTTTTTAAGCAGATGTAATTACACATCTGATTTTTTTCGGATGTAACTACACCCGGAATATATTTTTTTAAAAAATACAATTTTTTAACCAGATGTAGTTACGCATCTGATTTTTTTCGGATGTAACTACATCCGGGAAAAAAGTAATTTAAAAACGCATTATTTTAACCAGATGAAATTACACATCTGATTTTTTTCGGATATAGGTACGTCCGGAAAATTATTTTATTTTATTTTTTATTTTATTTTTAATAATGCATTATTTTAGGCAGATATAGTTACACATCTAGAAAAGTTCTCGGATGTAGTTACATCTTTCTAAAGATGTTATTATGCATCAATGAAATTTCGGATGTTGTTGCACAGATGTTAATTCAGTAAAGAAAAAAAGCGGATGATCTTACACAAAAATGTGCGAATGTAATTTCACTACTCCATGGATATTGTTGGATAGATGTAGTAGTCTTTTCCCTAGTTATACATTATTGCAAATTATTGGTATTTTGAATCTAGAATATTACATCCCCCGGTGTAGTTTCGGTATATATCGCATCAAGAAGCTGAAACTCTTACTTAAAATATCACATCCCCCCTATTCATCTAAAATATTACATCCCTCTTAGTTATTTATAAAATACTGTAAACTGCTAGTATTTATTATCTAGAATATCTTATCTCCCTGTGTAATCTTTGTATATATCGTATAAAGAAATTAAAATTTTTACTTAAAATGTCACATCCTCTTTACGCAGGCTTCTAAAACATTACATCCTCTTAAGTAATTTACACAATATTTCAAACTATTAGTATTTGGTATCTAGAATATCAAATCCCCCTGTAAAATTTTATTGTTGCCACGCAATATATTACGATCCCTAACCCTATCTATCCCTAATCTCATTTATAGTAAATTATTAATAAAATGTTTTGATGAATCTCGTTGCGTTTTTAATATATTGTTTACTTGAATGTTTCGGACGTACTTGATACACTTCTAAGTGCAATCATTCTAAAGCCTACTCTCCTTTTCATTATTTTTATGTGGGGATGTGATATTTTAGGCGGATGTAATATTTTATTACCGCGTTCATGTTAAGTTTAAATTTTTTTGATAACAAAAAAAATAATTATAACACTTTTTAAATCATACTTATTTATATAATCAACTTCAAGTTCAAATTTGTCTTGTATAGTTGTATTTTAACTAAATATAAATCAGCCATTGTAGTCAGGGTTTTTATAACAGTATTTTATTTGAAACATATCCTTATGATAAGGATATGTTTCAAATAAAATATTGTTATAAAAACCCTGATTTCAATGGCTGATTTATATTTAGTAATATACTTTAGATAAGGCTTATCTAAAGTATATTGAAAATGTTTCAAATAAAATATTGTTATAAAAAAACATTAAAAATAATATTTTTAAAATTTTTCAAAAGGGCTTCGATTGCTTGTTACTTTTTTTTTGACTGAGCTACATATCATCCACTAAAGCTATTAAACAAATAAAATATTATTTGTAATAATAAGTCTCTAATATTTTATTTATTAAAAACATTTTTTTGCAATAAGCAGGAATGATAAAGTTTAAAAATAAAATATACTTGGAATTTACTAAAAACATTTTATTAAAAAAATCTTTGTGCAACTTATTTTATTTTTCAAAGCTCTAGCCATATCAAGATGGAAGATTGAGGAAGAAACATAACAAAATAATATGTCAAAAAAAAGTCCCATTTTGTGGAATATAGATAAAATATCATTTTTTTTGTTAAGAAAACTCATAGGTCTTAAAAAATGAACACTTCTAAATATAATTTAACTTCATCTTCTAACCATATATATAGGCTTTGTTATTTGTAAGCAAAAATAAAGCATTTTTTTGTTTTCAGATAAAAAAATCTATGAAATCTATGTTAAAAGCAATTTTTATACCAATCAAATCCAATCTAATGTCAAAACAGAGGTTTTATATTTATAACATCTTTTTTTGTGTGTGTTTTTGTTAGTATTTTTATGGTATTCGTTAGTATTATTATGAACATTATTGCTTTTTTTTAAGGTTAATAATATTTGATTTTATTTTACTAATAATTTAATTTTACAATTATTATGACAGATTTAATAATATAATAACATTATTTATTTTTTTTTTATTTATAGTATTTATTTTACGATTATTATGATATATATATATATATATATATATATATATATATATATATATATATATATATATATATAATTTTTGTTAAGTGATTTTCTACTAATTTATATATATATATATATATATATATATATATATATATATATATATATATATATATATATATATATATATATATATATATATATCTGTGTGTATGCAGGGACAGATCCAGCACTCTTTGGTGTTTCAGATAACTAACTTCCTGACATGGATCAAACACCAAACATTCATATGCTTATACTTATGTCAAATAAAGATGCTTTGCAAAACATTGCGATAATTGAAGTCTGGAAACAAAAAAGCCCCCATATTTTGGCCACAACTACCCCAAACATGAAAGCAACAAGTTAACAAAATCTTTTTTTTACTATTCATAACTTTACAGTTACAAAGCTATATTCATCAATAAATTTTAAATTTCATAGTATAGTCTCTCAATGTTCAAAATTTATTGACATTTATATAAGCATATAAATGTCAATAAATCTCAAACACTAAAGAGTATTGGATATGTATGTATATATATATGTATATATATATATATATATATATATAGGCGTGGATGCAGCTTTTTTTAATGTTTGAGATTTTATTTCCAGACATGGAGCAAACTCTAAACATTTATGTTTATACTTCGTTGCTTTGGTTTGACAAAGTTCTGATTTTTTTAATATTAGAAAAATAGCAAATAAATCTTTTTTTCTTTCTTTTTTTTTTTAATGTCTAAATAAAAATGTTTATATGATTCATTTTTGTTTATTCATGTATTTTTATACATCATCTAAAAGAAGAATATATAAACAAATAAAAAAACAATAATATAAATAGTTTTACATTTTTTAATAATATAAATAGTTTTACATTTTTCACTTAATAAAAAGTTAAAAGATTTTTTTCTAAGTAAAAAAAATTTTCTTAATATAAAAAATTTCAGTTAGAACCTTGTCAAACCAACACGACAACTTATGTAAAATAAGGATGCTTTGCAAAAAATTGTAATGGTTGGAGCCTGGGAACAAAAAGCCCCAAAGTTTTAGCTACACCTGCCCCAAACGTGAGAGCAATAAATGGTGGTTTTGCAAATTTTATAACAATTAAATGCTAAGAGATTATTTTACAAAATTAAGAATTTATTGATAAATATAAACTTGGTTAATAAGAACAGAAAAAATATTTTATTAACTTGTTGCTCTAATGTTTTTTTTGTTCCAGGCTCCAATCATAGCAAATTTTTGCAAAGCATCCTTATTTAAAATTAGTATAAATATAAAAATATTTGGTGTTTCCTCCATGTCTGCAAGTTATCTTAAACATCAAAAAATGCCGCCCCTCATATATTGCAATAGTAGTTTAATTTAAAGTAAAAATATATTTTTATGAAAGTTAGAAAAGGTTTTAAATGAATCAAAAAAGTGTCTTCTTATGCATGGCAGATCGTTTAGTATCCAATCAATACCCTGTCATGAAAGGATATTATACTAAACATTTAATTAATGAAGAGTTTGATTTAGATAATAAAACACCAAGAATCTGTTGTTATTGTGGTGTAGTTTTTGATGCCACTAATATAAAATTCCGAATACTACCCAAAAGGAAAAAGAATAAAAAGTTAAAAACTTCTTTTATTCATATAACATGTAAAAATTGCTTAAACAGCACTTCTTTACCTTGTTTCCATCAAAAGATTTTCAAAGCAAGAAAAATTTCGATAAAAAGACCTGTAAAATTAAAAATGCTGAGTTCGTCGACAAGCATAGACTTGCAATTAAGTGCAACACCTTCATTATCGAAGAATTTTCTAACACCTTTGAAGTTATCAAAGTCAGCAAATTCAACACCGTCGTCAAGATCTGCAGCTCTATCTTCATCAACAACTTCCGATACTTTTTTAAAGCTATCAAAATCAGCCAAGAAGAAAGCAAGAACAAATTCTTTTAAGCTATCTCACCAAGCTAACCAACAAAAAACTTCCGCAGAACCCACATGCAACCTGATGTCGTTTTTAACTTCTCTTTGAATATTTCAACTGTTCAAAGTAAAAAGTAAAATAAATTTGAAACTTTTTTTGTTCTTTAATGTGTTACTTTTAGGAATTTCATGTTTAATTTTTTTATGGGAAAAAAAAAAAAAAAAAAAAATATATATATATATATATATATTTTTCGTCCGCAAGATTCTCTAAATCGAACTTTTTTAACTTCTGACGTGTAAAATGCACATTAAACCTTTTTTCAAATTTCGAATGTTATGAGTTTTTGAAAAACGATTAGTGTAAATTATCTTCTATTGTTAAAAAAAAAAATCATGGCATTAAAGAGGCAATTTAAAGCGGAAATACAAAACTCTAATGGGATTGGAGAAAGGAGAAACAAATTAAGGTTTCTAAAATTTTTGATATTCCACCATATTTTGCGATAGAGTTAAGCTTCAAAAATTTTCATGCTTCGGAGGGATGGCTAAACTGATCTAAGAAAAAGCAAACTAATTTGGAGAATTTGACAGACTCTTAAGAAATAAATCGTGCCTTTATATATATATATATATATATATATATATATATATATATATATATATATATATATATATATATATATATATATATATATATATATATATATATATATATATATATATATATATATATATATATATATATATATATATATATATATATATATATATATATATATATGAGATAATATTTTATATATATAAAAAATTCGAAAATATATTTTTGTTATTCACCTCCCCAAGGCCGAGAAGGCCACTATAGATGAGAAGGCTAGTTGGCCGCTGCGCGGAGAAAAAAATTAAGCGCGGTACTACCAGGGACGTGGTGGGAATCGAACTCGGAACCTCTCGCTCTACCACTACACCACTACCACATATATATATATATATATATATATATATATATATATATATATATATATATATATATATATATATATATATATATATATATATATATATATATATATATATATATATATATATATATATATATATTAAGCACAAGCGTTACCGCAATTCGATAAATTTCGACAATGCGATAAATTGCGATAATTAAATAAGAAATCGGGGGCGCTCATTTACAAAAACAATATTTAGTTCAGAGTTAGCCCTGATCGCGATGCTGCCATTTTTGTCATTTAAACCCTAATCGCGATGCTATCATTTTTATGGAGCAATTTATTGTGAGTTAATTTATATGGAATTATATATATATATATATATATATATATATATATATATATATATATATATATATATATATATATATATATATATATATATATATATATATATATATACATAAATTTTGATAATAAAATGGATACTTACCTATTTTTGTCTTTTGGAAAGCGAAAAAATGACATTATGTTGACAATTAGGAGCTGCACACAATCCAGCAGACATTGTTTAGTACTCTATACTATAGTTTGACAACTTAAAATAATTGAAATTAAAAAAAAAATCAACTGATCATGCAATAGCAAAGTATATATTATAATTTTTTATTTGTATTTTGTTGTTTATGATTACAATCTAGCTGTACTACGCATCCTAAAAGTCTTTGCGTCAGCAGTTACAAGAATTTAATGCAAATTTTGCCAAGTCGCACCCCACTGATCGGATTTTAATTAATTTCAGTTAATTACAGTTAATGTTAATTAATTACAGTTAATGAAGTTAATTACAGATAATGAAGGATAGATGGCTCATCGAGTACAAACGTGCCGAATAAATTGATGGACGGAGAACATGGTCAAAGATTGGGACTATGTACTTCATCTTTTGTTACAAGGGTATAGGAAATTTCCTATATCCTTTTAACAAAAATAAGTTTAACCTTTAATGTAATTTAGGGTTTAACTTATTTTTGCTAAATTTTTTACTACCATGAGAGAGAGAGTTAATTCCCGGTAAGTCAAAACTCGAACTATTTCATCCGTTAGTCCCTTGAGTGTTTAAACGTTTAGAGAAGACGATATTCTCATTGGTGATTCCAAGAATGTTTAGAACGCCGAGAGACCCATGATAGTACTGGGGTATACATATAAATTTATTAATTTCTAACTATATATTCTAGGAAATAAATTTAGAAATAAAATTTAATAATAAATAAATCCTCCATGAGAAAAGCAACTAAAAGTCTGGACCTATTTCGATGATGAAAACAATGGCTTAAAAGTTCTCTCTTGATCTTAATTTTTTTTTCTTTCGTAAAATAAAAATATCAAGAGGAGAAGTATCAAGCAGAAAAGGTTTTTGAAAATTTCTTGAATTTCTCTCTTTGTATATAGTTTGGATGCAAAAGTCATATAATTTCTGTTCTAGATTGAAAAAAAAAATGTTAAAAAAAGTAGGGAGCTCTTGATAAAAAAACTATTGGATTATTAATAACTTTCTATCTATATATATATATATAATTTCTATATATATATATATATATATATATATATATATATATATATATATACAATTATATATATATATATATATACAACAATTAATACTTGAGCCTTTGCTTTTCTTCATCTAGGTAAATAATCTCTGTATGACATCAAAAAGAATTTTAACTGTAATGTTTGCTGACGATAGCAGCTTTTATTTCTGGAAAAGTTATTAGCGACCTGTGCGTAAAAATGATCTTTAAATAAAGAAACAATTTCATAATGGTTTACGACAAGCAAACTCTCTATTAACTCAAGTAAAACGAATATTTCTTTATTTCATCCTTCCTTTCAAAAAATAAGAAGCTCAACTTTTTTTTTCGAAATTGTTTATTGAAAATAGAGAAATAAGTAGAGATACTGTTACAAAATTTTTGGGTGTTGTTATTGACGAAAATCTAAATTCTAATAAATATATCACTTATTTAAGTATTAAAATATCCAAAAGCATCGGAATAATATACCAGGCGCGTTACTTATTAAAAAAACCACTTCTCGAACAAATTTACTATAGCTTTGTTCAAAGTTACCTAAACTACGTTGATATTGCACGGGGTAGAGGTTATAAAACGAAATTAAAACCACTCTATTGTAAACAGAAGCATGCTATACGAGTATAAAAAATAATAAAAATAAAAAAGAACACTCAAAACCGCTTTTTGAACAAATGTCTTTATTAACATTGTTTTAACCAAATCTATATAATGTTTTAAGCCTTATCTATAATAGAAAAATGAAAAAAGTCCTTCAATTTTATATAGTCTTTATAAACAAAAACCAGAGAATAAATATTTATTGCTTACAAATAGTACCCTGTAAGAGTGTAAAAATAAGCTTGAGCAACTCAAAACTACTTATCGTGCACCTCATATTTGGAATAAGTTTTTACGAATTAATTTAAATAATATTGATTTAGAAAACTTAAATTGTTTTAAAAAAACTATCAAAAAGAGTAATTAAAAGTATAAAAATTTAATTATTGAACATTAAAAATTAATTTTTCTAAATATATACTCTGCAAGCTTTTTAAATAATTTATCATATATAAATATATTTTCAAGATTGCATTAGTAATAAATGTGTAAATATTAATATAAAAAAAAATAATAATAATAAAAAAAAATAAAATAAACAAAACAAACGATATTTGTAAAAATATATTTGTATACTTGTTATCTGACATTTTAATACCACTATAATTTAATGAATTTATGTAAAAATGTTATGTTTTTATATTTATGGCAAGGTAAAGCCATTCTTGATAATAACACCATTTGGTCTTCTGCAAGTTTTCCGAGTTCTTTTTACAGTGTTAGAGTGAATTTATTATTTTTGTAAAATCACTTTGCAAAATTTTGTTTTTATTTATTACAGTTACTCTTTAATCACTGTTAACGAATCTTTATTATGGAATTACGAATTTGTAATATTAAGGAACAAAAAATAAACTTAAAATGAAAATTAAACAAAAGTAAAATCAGTAAGTTGGTATCATCAGTAAGTTGGTCATCAGCAAAAATAATACTTAATAGACTATGATAATTTACTTTAATAGATAATTTAATAAAGTCATTTATATAAATCAAAAAAAGCAGTGGCCCCAAGATAGGCTCTGCAAAACATCCCATAGGGTAGAACGGTGCATATTGGAACAGTGGGGCATAACGGGATAGTTATGCCTGAAGCCTTATATCTCAGCTAAAAATTATTTTTTTCCAAAATTTTTTTTTGATAAAACATTTTAAAGTATTGTGTTTTATTTCCTGTAAAAAATTTTTATTTTAGAAATACTAAAATACATTAAAAGTACCAAAATGCATCAGTAAATTTGTTGAAAAAACAACATTTGCATATTTTCCAAAGCGATACAACGACAAAAGACTTATTTTGAAGTATTGCTAATTTGATTAACTTTTATTATTTATGAGTTAGAAATATTAGATGAATTTTAATAGCAATACTAAGATCATATTATTTCAGAAGTAAGTATAAAAAATAGTTATGCAAATTATATATATTACATTTTTATTAGATAAAAAGTAGAAAGGATCACCCCTCCCAATTTTTTAAATCGTTTATATTTTGTTTAAGCTTTTCTTTTAGCTTTATTTATGGTAGCAGATCCTCTTAAAATAAAGTTGCTTAAACTAATACCGATTGCAATTAAGTTTTATTTGATATCAGTTAAACTTTTTTTTTTTAATTAAAAATTTTGAAAAAAAAAAGTAATTAAGGACTAATTAGACAATTAAGCAGCCATTTTAAAAAATTTCCTAACGTGTTTATACAAGTTTTACAAATGCTGTGGACTTCAAATTTTCAAGATATTTTAGTAGTACTATTAACTAGGGTTTCTACCACTTTTGTGTAAAAATGATAAATACTTTAAAAGATAATCAATTTTTTCAAAAATTTTTAAAATGAAGTACCCAAAAAAAAAAAAAAAAAACTATACTTAAAATAAAAATTGAACTTTAATTGAGGTACAAACCCTAGACAACAAGGAACCCTAGACAACAAATTTTTGCTGAAAATTTCAAATCAAAATCTGTAGTAGAAGTAGAGAGCGTTTTTTGTGTCGAAAAGTATTAAAAAAATAAAACACAAGAAAAATGCTCCTAAAGATTTTGTAATTAAAAAATAATAAATTTTTTATCATTCTAAAAACCACCAGCAGAATATGATGCTCTTTCTTCATTTTCTTTGTCTATGAATCCTTTTTTCATAGTTCTTAGTAACTTTCTTCTGCTAATACCTACTGTTGAAGTCTTTTTTGTCATACAACCTATTCAAGTCTTATTTTTTTTAATGGTTTCTATATCCATAAATCGACCGGTTTTTATCTTTAGTTTTTGAAAAACTTCATATATGCCACTAGCTCCATCATTTAACTCTAAAACAGCAGCAACAACAACTCTGCTACAGCTATTTCAAAAATATTTCGACTTACATAAACATCTTAAGGACATTTTTTCCAAATGAAATTGTTGTGTCTGTCCATGCAAACATTTGTTTGTGTCTGTCTATGCAAACATTTAGATAATAATTCATCTCTGCTCAAGTCTTAAAAGATGGGTTTTAAAATTTCATTTATTGCTAATGGAAGATTTAAATTAGCTTTGTAAGTTGATTTACCTGTTAGTTAATTTGACTGCCATATGCACCAGCTATTTACAATTCGAGGACAAAATTTATGTCGTTCAGTTTCATCAACAATATCTGAGTTATGGAAAAGTGTTGCCCAAATACCCTTTTTCATTTCATAAATACTGTTAAGATTTTGCCTTATGGCAGTACAATAATAATTCTGCAAAGTATTTATAGCTTTAACAGTTAATCGTCCTTGACCCATTATTTTTCCCCCATCCGACAATATATTTAATTAAATTAATTGGCGTAAGTTTTGCAGTCGTGTTCCCATACGCTTTTGAACATTTCCGTTTTTTTTTATTAATAGTAACATTTGTTAACATCATTGTATGAAGATGTATCTCCATCTCCTATATAAGATGTATACCTTAGTTTATACTTCTCCACAGATCGCCCAAACATTTCAACAGATCGCCCAAACATTTCACAGATCGCCCAAACATTTCAACAGATCGCCCAAACATTTCAACAGATCGCCCAAACATTTCAACAGATCGCCCAAACATTTCAACAGATCGCCCAAACATTTCAACAGATCGCCCAAACATTTCAACAGATCGCCCAAACATTTCAACAGATCGCCCAAACATTTCAATAGTACCCACAGACTCCATTGATTCTAAGGATTTTATATGGTTAATGAGACAAATGTAATTATTTTGTCAGTTATTATAACCAGTATTTTTTTTTTTTTTTTTTGTTCCAGTATTCACAACTTTTACATTGTTTTGATAAAACAAAATGGTCAACCCATTTTTGATTATTTGTTGATATCAAAGTAACAACACCATTTATAGATGTGTGACCTTTTTTTTTGCCATGTTTTATCAACAGAAACATAGCAATCAACAATACTTGTATTATCACATTCATCAAAACAATATCATGTATCTCTTTTGCAGCATTTGACATGGAAGCTGCTTCGACATAAGCACTGTGAAGTAATTTTGTTATTTTATCATAGGTTTTTTTTGTCATCGGTCTTGGCATATTCATGCAATAGGTACGTGCGTAAATTCGTAATTTGCCGTAAAAACGCGAGCTAAAATCTGTGACCCTACTTTTGTAATTTAGCCAAGACACGTATTAGGGCAAACGACACTGTTCCGCTAATTATGAATCAATTTTTTTGAAATTTTGCAGATAATTAGGAAAAAGCTTTTTCTAAATTTTGATACATTTTTAGAATACTTTACAAGAAAAAAAACATATATATTTTTACATTGTAAGTTGGCTCATTTTTTCTATGAATCACAGCTCTGTAAATTATGGCAGGTACTTTATGAAACTTTAAGGTATTGTAGATCATTTATTTGTCTAATATTGGTACAATTTTTATATTAATCAGGTGTAGCGCACATTGGTTTTGGGTTTCCCCAAGCACCCTAGGTATTTCTATGAAATGGTGGATTTCTTGCCTTGTTACGCTGAGTTTGCATTTTTTCATTTCTTGTAGTCACATGATAGTTTCTGAAATTCCGATTAGTGCAAAATGTATATTTATTAAGTTAATAACTTATAGTATAAGTTATGATCATAATTTTCATACATTCTTTTCAGACGTTCTTTTCATACGTTCATATGAACATCTACAAAAACTCTCCTTCAAAAAGGGTTATTGTAACATGTTAAACATGCAGCATTAATATTATTAAACATGTTACAATAAAATTTTGTGAATTATTTACTATATTTATTTTACTCTCTATATTAAATAAATATAACTTATTTATTTAGAGTTTAGTGCTCTAAATAATACAATTAAATTTTTACTCTTGTATCTAGAGCTTTTAAAATGTCAAAGAAATGTTTAATGTTGAACCATCTGAAATCAGAGTATCTTGAACTACCTTTTTCATATCAGGTATGTCTTAAAGGACATGTTTTACTTGTATACTTTCAAAACAAATGTTAAACAACTACAGCAGCAAGAAAATTGGGTGAAAAATATGGCTTGCCAACTTCTAAAAATCACATCAAATGTATAGTTAATAGCATCAATCTATATAAGTAAAACTTATTAAGGAACATGGAAAAGTTACAAAACATTTGTTCTGAAAAAATTGTTTGATTTAAACAATTAAATCAAACAATTGCTCGCAAAAACAAAACAATCATGCAACTTCGAAATAAATTAAATGAACAGAGTTTTAGCATACAACTTAAATGTCTTCAATAATAAAAATCTTAGATTGAAAAAGCGAATAGCATTGTCCAAGACTTAGTTACTATTTTGCACAATCAAATTTCTGATAGAAATGCTGAGATTCAAATTCTTCAAAACGAATTGCTAATTTTAAAGGAGGAAGTTGAGCAAACACAGCACAATGTCCAGAATACGAGATATGCAAAAGTCTACACTACTGATATTAGGGCGTTAGTATATGACATGCTTGTTTGTAATGTGCCAACACATAGTGTGCCATCACTGCTCCATAAAATTGGATAATTTATTGGCTTTCAGTTTACTGAAATTCCACATCGTACAACTGTGGAGCAGATGATGCGTGAGCTTGGAGTTATTTCAGATCTGCAGACTGCTAAAATAGCTATTGCAACAAAAAATCTGACCTTGGGTTTTGATTCTACTACACAAGAGGGTGTCCGTGTAAATGCTGTCCACTTTACAACCAAAACAAGATGCATGGTTGTGGCTGTTGACCAACTTGCTGGAGGTACAGCTAATGATTATAAAAATCATATTACACAGTCTGTAGATCACCTTGCAAAGTTGTATAGTAATTTTTACGAGAAACAATATATTGAAGTACGAAGTACGATTATTGCTTATATAAGTAATATGATGACTGACAGAGTCGCAGCAAACCATGCAATGGTCACTAAGTTAAATACTTTGTGGCAAAAATCGTTAAACAAACTAAATTGCCATCTTCACCCATTGGATACAATGACCTCTGCTTGCAAGTCTTCACTTAAAGCATTGGAAACTTTAAAAGGGAAACTGTTTGGCAGGGATTGTATTGCAGCAAACATTGTTATACAGCTTAACAAACTACGCTACAAGGATGGTAAAGGTAAATTAACCATTTACTCTAAAAAATATCTAACAAATTAAAAGAAGCCTTAATTTAACATGTTTTTCTTTTTCTTATCTTTTTATATTATATATATAACTTAGTTTTCTTGATTAAAGGTGACCCAAAAGGTTTTGTTATCTTCTTGGACAAACACAAGTTGCCAAGGAGACTGTTACCACGCTACAGGGTAAATAGATTACACGTCTTATTTCATAGATGTGGAATTTTGATCCATAACTATACTATATTAAAGACATTCCTGTTTTCTGGTGTGACATTAGGTGGTGGTTTGAGAAATAGTCTGTATCAAGACTTTACTTCGGAAGCAAGTTAGGTTTTAAATATAGTTAATAAATAAATCATTATGTAAAATTTTAATTGGTTTCTTTAAATAATAATACATTTATTTTTAGGTATCCTTAAATTGTGTGCCTTAGGGTTAATTGGTAAGCTACTAACTGGTCCCTGGATGACTAAGTTTTATGTTAAGCGTAGTCAAGGACTCGACTACATATCTGGCATCCAAGTAGTAAAAAATGTTCGCAACCATCTTGTTGAGATTATCAAGAACCCACTTGCTCTAATTCAACGATTTTTTTGGAAATGATCTTAATGATCCAATCTTTAATTCTATTGTTGGCTTTTGTCCACAGACTGATAAAATGGGAGAAGCATTAGGTTGTTGTCTGAATGCTGTCATTATTGTCATTGACAGACAGTACCAGAGACAATTCAACATGACATCAAATGAACTACTTAAGGACCAGACTCTTTCAACACGGCTTCATAATATTGACTCTGAAGAACTAGCACTAAACATAGATATGTTTAGTGCTGCAAAACATAAATCTCCCACTTTGTTTTTTATCATCAAAGTTGCGTGCATGTAAAAGTAAAACAACTAATTTCCTCCGTGATAAACCTATTGATATTCGAAATAAGTTGATGTTATGGGCTCTCCATGGCCAGAAAAAAAACGCTTTTCCAACACAGAACAACTTGATCTAATTAAGATAGAACTAATTAAACGCATGGAGATGAAATTTCTGCAAAAAGACAACAAAGAAAAAAGAAAAGTTGAAAAAATTTTGAAAAATTGTTTGCCTAACGAAGTAAAACAACTATTCTCTAATCTGGAAAATGATGAAGCTGCTGATGTCGAAGACATTCTTATCGGTAACATTGTTGGGCGAAATATATGCCACATGTTGTATGATATTGACACTAATAAACAGGAGGTATATTTTGGCAGAGTTATTGGAATAAAAAAAAAGAACAGTGCTATGTATACAGTTGCTTACTGGAAGCAAACTGAGGATGAGGATGACAATGCAGTTGATTATAATATGAGTAAATATCAACTGTCTGCAGATGTTATTACTGGTGACCAACATATGATCTGATCTATACCTGTGATATTGTATGTTATCTGTAGCTGGTTTTTTTTATTTGTGAGTTTTATTTAATAAAGTGTTTTTATTACTTTACTAAATTTGGAACAATATCACAAACATTTTACATTGTAATAATTTTATTTAGTTGCACTTTGTTCAGTGGTGGAGCACCGGTAAGTCATTATATGTATGTTTGTGTTCTGTTGGACCTCTGGCGCGGTGTTGACACACTCGTAAGTCATTATATGTTCGTGTTCTGTTGGACCTCTGACGCGGTGTTGACGCACTAGTAAGTCATTATATGTTTAATTATCATATTACACAGTAAAATTGCGTTATTGTTGTTAACAGTAAAATTGCGTTATTTTGGACTCTCAATGGGAATAATTATATATAGTTTGACTTAGCGAATGTCCACAGCTTTTTATCTATGTCCACAGCTTTTTATCTATGTCCACAGCTTTTTATCTATGTCCACAGCTTTTTATCTAAGAGAACTAAAAAAACATGAGTCAGAGTACAAATGATCCAACTTATCCAGGTTTCAACTTAACATTCTACTGTATGATGTTATCATCATGATGTCATTTTTGTTATGTTTTGTGTTGATAGACAACTTGGCTTACCTTCTCGATGGTGTCTATCGTTAATAATGATTATTAGGTAGTTTCATTATTGGAACTCGCTGTTTTTAGTCATTCACTAAAAGCCAAGAAATAAGTTATAAATTAAAACATAATTTTTTATGTTATTGTTGTTTTTTAAATTTAGCGTTATTATTAGTTCACATTAACAATTGCATTATGTAAGTTTCTTATTTATTATACATATGTATACATTATCTTTTCTTTTCTTTTTTTTTTAGCATTTAGAGCATTTAAAGGCAGCATTAAATTCAAAGTTTCAAGATTTGAAAGGAGCGTACTCTACCACTTTTTATACTGCTAATTTTTGTTTTTAAATTTTTTTTTGTGATTGATGGGGGGGGGGGGGGGACGCCTCCCATCCTTTAATTTATTTATGTTACAAATATATAATTAAATAAAATATATATATATATATATTTTTAATATTATTTTCATTCATTTTATTAATGATAAAAATATTTATAAGAATAAATCTTTCGGTACTAGGGTGTGTACCATTACCACCACATCAACCTCCTTCATAAAATCTCTAATACTTGCTTGCCAATAAAAAAATAACAACTTTTTTAATGATAAATTACTAGTTTTATACTTTAAAAAAAACCTTTTATGGAAGAAATGTGAATTTTTTGATAGCAAAGATGTTTTTTCTGTCCCTCCTCTAGCCCCCTGAATACGTACAGGTGTTTAAAGTGAATGAAGTTTGTAGCCCAATGTTACACCTATCTTTTGATACCAAGTTATATGCATTTAGAAAAGCATTGACAATTTTGAGGCGGTTTAAGTTAAAAAACCATTATGAATTGGTCACATTTTTGTTAAGGAATCCTTGTAATCAAATTTCGTCACTACAATGCTCATAAATTTTTGTAGAATCATCCAATTTTGATAAAATTTTCAGTTTTGGAATATTTTTTTTAAAATTCTTTTCAACGATATATAACAATTTGATATTTAAACAATTTGAAATTTTTACACACGTACCTACATGCAACGATTAATTAACGAACCCTTTTTTGCCGCATGCTTTCTTCGTGAACAGACGTATTTTTCAGCATAAGAATTTTCTTTAAAAAATGAAAATAATAATAATAAAAGTTTATTAATTTTAGTTTTTAGTATTTAATTATCTTTATAACCGGAATTATTCTTCAAATTTATCAAACTATCTTCAAAAATTTTGCAACACTCATTTTTTGAAAAAAATGGAAGTTACAATGAAAAATATTGAACGACTTATAATAACAAAAAAAATATATTCTCAAAGAAACTGACAAACTTCTAAAAAACCAAGAAGCAACATTTACAAATATATAAGCTCAAATCTGAAAATTATCACGGATAGACTTGATAAACTCGAAAGCGAAATTAACACCAACAAATCAAAAACTTCAACCTTAGAAAAAAACTTTAGAGATATCAAAGAAACCTTTAACTTCCAAGAGGAAAACTTTACAAATAAACTAGCACAAATGAGCCAAAAGTGTAACGATGAAATTAGTATACTAAAAAAGAAGACTATAGATTTGGAAAACAGATCACGTCGTAACAATTTAAGAATTGAGTATCCGAATCTAACTCTGAAACATGGAATGACTGTGTTAGCATAGTAAAAAATATCTTTAAAAACCAATTCGGAATTACAGAAGACATAGTAGTTGAGAGAGCCCATCGAGTAGGACAAGTAAAAGAATACAAGCCGCGAACGAAAATTCTCAAACTTTTAAATTTTCATGAAAAAAGCAAAATATTATCTTTAGGAAAAAAACTTAAGGGCAGTGGAGTATTCTTAAATGAAGATTATGCAAATGAAACCTTAGAAAAACGAAAAAAGCTTTGGGAAGAAATAAAAAGACACCGAAAAGAAGGTAAATTTGCAGTTATCAAATATGATATAATTTTTGTACGAGAGTTTCGGAAATAAGTTAAATGCTTAACCTCAATTTTATAAAAATAGACTCTTAATCATGTGCAATGGCTAACAAAACAATTGACTTTGAAACCAAACAATTAAATTTTTTTGAAACTGATAACAGCATTTTACTTAACGACTATTATGACGCAGATAAACAGGTTTTTAAAGAATTAGATTTTGATTTACTATGACACTGAAACTTCTAAAATGCTATTAAAAACATATATAAAAAATTTCACGGTGATACACATCAGTATTAGAAGTTTAAGTTTAAATATAGACAAACTAAAACACTTTCTTTTAGAATCCAATTTTTTATTTAACATGATTTGTCTCACAGAATCATGGTGTGATGATGAGTCAGCTCAAAAAAATTCAAATTTTCAGATTCCTAATTATAAAAAAATTTCATCTGAGAGAAAAACACTAAAAAGGGGAGGCGGAATTTTAGTTTACATTTGTAATGACCACAATATCAAAATTAAAAAAGACCTCTCGATCTCTAATTCAGACAGTGAGGTCCTAACAATTGAGATAATAATTAAAAATACAAAAAACGTTGTAGTTTCTACTTGTTATAGACCACCCGACGGCGATGTTATTCAGTTTTCAAATTATATGCAACAAATTTTAATCAAAAGCAATAATGAACAAAAAAGATTATTCTGCATCGGTGACATCAACATAGACAGTTTGAAGTACAATGATGTATAATTTTTGGTTTTTTTTGAAGAAAATCTTCAAAAAAAAGCAAAAATTATACATCTAATATTTAAAAAACAGAAACGAAGCTGTAAAAAATATAAAAATCTGTTTGAAAAAATAAAAAATAAATCTAAAAAAAGATATTATTCTCAACAATTAAAAAATAATAATGGTAACATTTAGAAAACGTGGGAAGTTATGAAAGAAATCATTGGTAAAAATAAAATAGTATCTGACATTTTACCCTCCAGAATAACGGAAAACGATATTGAATACAAAAACAAAAAAGATATATCAGAAATATTTAATCATTTTTTTTGTAAACACTGGTCTAAACCTGGCATCAAAAATAAAAGGCTCAGAAACATCGTTTCAAAATTATTTTAGCGATTTTAAAAGCTCATTGCCAGATAGTAATTTAACTTTTGATGAACTAGAAACAGCAATCAAATCAATTAAAAAGAATAAGGCCCGAGGTATTGATGACATCTCTGGCAATGTTGTGCTTTATATTTTTTCTGTAATAAGAAAGCCTATTTTTAATATCTTCAGCTCTTCAATCAAAAACGGAATTGTCCCAGACAAATTAAAAATAGCAAAAATTGTACCTATAAATTAAAATGTGGAGATACATCTGCAATTAGCAATTATAGACCAATCTCAATTCTTCCTATATTTTCTAAATTCCTTGAAAGAATAATTACTGTATAAATATTTAATAGAACACAAAATCTTAAGTGAAAATCAATACGGGTTTCAAACGCAACATTCAACAGAATATGCTATCCTAGATCTCATTAATAACATTACAACTTCCTTTAATGATAGGAAATTTGTATTAGGAGTCTTTATTGATCTTTCAAAGGCGTTTGACACAGTAGACCACACAATACTACTCAAAAAAATGGAAAAATATGGCATAAAAAATCAAACTATAAAATGGTTCGCCAACTACCTAGACAACAGACAACAATGTGTTACCATAGATCACTATAACAACTCGAAACAACTAAAAATCAAATGTGGGGTTCCTCAAGGATCTATTCTAGCTCATCTTCTATTTTTAATTTATCTCAACAACCTCCCTAAAGTCTCACCTAAGTTAGATTGCATAATTTTTGCAGACGACACTAATCTGTTTTATTCTTCTAGCTCAATCAGTGACCTCTTTATAACCGCAAACTTAGAACTTATTAAACTTAACACATGGTTCAGAGCTAACAAATTGTCAGTAAACTTAAACAAAACTAAATACATCTTATTTCACCCCAATCAAAAATAAAAAGCTATCCCATCAATTTTACCAACTCTTAGTATAGACAATACAATTATTGAACCAACTTAATCATCTAAATTTCTTGGTAAGCTTCTTGACGAGAAATTATCTTGGAACTCTCACATAAATACCATTAATACAAAAGTCTCAAAAAACATTGGTCTACTCTATAAAGCAAGAAATTATTTATCGTTCGAAAATTTAAAACTTCTTTATTTTTCTTTTATACACAGCTATCTATCATATGCCAATATAGCATGGGCAAGTACCCATAAAACTAAATTAAGTTCACTCTATAGACGACAGAAACTTGCCTCAAGAATTATTTTTTATAAAAACAAACTTACTTACGCAAACCCATTACTAAAACAGATGAATGCTTTAAACATTTACCAAATTAAAATATATCAAAGTATTTTGTTTATGTTCAAACATAAAATGGGAACTATTCCAAGTCGATTTATGAATAACTTTTTTAAAACTAATATAAACAAATTTAGCACTAAAGCAACTGGAAACTATATAGTACTTTTGAAAAAAAGAAAACTATCCTAATTTTCTATAGCATATCGTGGTCCTTACTTGTATAACAAATTAATACCAAAAAATTCCTCAATATCTCTCCTGAAAAATAAAAATTCCTTAAAATCTTATCTTAAAAAACTTGTCTTAAATACAAGCAGTTATATGGAAATTTTCTAATAACTTATGAATAATTAAAATATCAAAATCATGTACAAAAAAAAAATAAAATAATAATAATAATAATAATAAAAAAAAAGTATGAATATACATATATACATGTGTATGTGTGTATGTGCATGTTTATGTATGTGTGTATATGTGTGTATGTGTATGAGAATATGTGTGTATTTATGTATGTGTGTGTGTATTTATGTATGTGTGTATGTATATATATATGTATGTATGTGTGTGTGTATGTAAGTATATATCTATATATATAAACATATACATAATCATATATATATATATATATATATATATATATATATATATATATATATATATATATATATATATATATATATATATATATATATATATATATATATATATATATATATATGTATATATGTATATGTGTTTGTGTGTATATATGTGTATTTATGTGTATGTATATGTATGTATGTGTATATATATATATGTGTGTGTATGCGTATGTGTGTATGTGTATGTGTTTTTTAAAATTTACCGACTGCCATAACGACATTTGCCGACTGACTTTACAGACCAACCTATCAACAGGGTCTACATTTGCCGACTAACTTGATAAAAAGGGTCACATTTGCCGACTATGTGTCAAATTTGCCGACTAAAAGTCATTGATGGGGGGGGGGGTGTATATATATACACCCCCCCCATCAATGGGTGTGTGTGTATATATATATATATATATATATATATATATATATATATATATATATATATATATATATATATATATATATATATATATATGTTATGTTTATGTTATGCTCTTTTCTAAAAACACGACTAATTAAATTGAAAAATGTAATAAGTAATGAATAAAATATTTATGAGAATCTTATGAAATTGTTTAAAAAAAGGGTTCTCGATGACAAGACTTTACACAGTTTTCTGCGAGTTTCCCTTGACTACATAATTAAAGGTTTATTTAAGATTTTTTTGTCTTTTCAAAATATAAACTGAAAAACTATTTTACATTATTTTATTACTTTGTACATCAAATATATCTTAATATTATTTCAGTTATTTTCAAAGCATTTTGACTGTATTTGTAATAAAAGTATATATTGTTTAAACTATTTGTAATAAAAGTATGTATTGTTAAAGCTATGTAGTTGTAAAAATATATGGAAAAAAAATAAAAAATTAAATGATTCTATGGAAGAACCTTTTTCCTATTTCTCTAAAAGCAACAATAACTTGTGTATTAACTTCTGCACTTTTTTTAATTATTGCTGAAGTTTTAAATGTGTCTATAACTTTATCACAGCTTTCACAAAAAATTTCAAGTTGTAAACAAAAATCCCATTTCTTTCCCAATGTTATCATGCAAAGTAATTTTATTTCCACATTCAGGACAAAAAATATACTTACTAAATATTCTTTTTAATATAGAAAAGTTCATAATAAAGTTATAATTGTTCTTGTAATCTTTATTGATACATTCAATATTTTGAGTAGTTTTCGATTTCGAAAATAACTTTTTTTTACTTGTACAACTTGCAATTGGCGATGAAGGTAAACTATTTTTTTGTTTATTATTGCATGTGTACTGATTTCCTTTAAACTTGTATTTACGTTTTCTAATCGTACTGCGAGTCATTTTTTTGTTTAAAAGTTGCAAACAAATTTGAAGTAAAAATGGCTTTTAAAAGCTTTTAAATATAGTCAAAGTTTTGATTCTAATTTGTAATGTTCAAGCTGTGGAGTTTATCCTAAAGTTGTTTTGAGCACTGGTACAAACATTAAGCAAACAAGGTTCTTTTAAAACTGAAGTTTCCTCCAAACAGCTGACTAGAAAGTTCAAAAACCAACAATATAATCCGTTGCTATGGCGGTAACTAGGGAAGCCTGAAAAACTATGGTCCTTATCCCAAATTGAATTATAAGAAAGAACAGGTCCTCATACCTAAATTGAATTATAAGAAACTGTTTTCATATTAATAATCTCCGTTAAATTTTAAATAAAAATCAAGTAAAAAAAAAATTTTGAATTTTTTTTGATTTTTAAGGGGATCTGCTACCTTAAGGCAGTTTTGTTTTTATTGAGCTTATATTTAATTCTTTAGAAAGAAAACAGGGATGAGGCCTAACTATTTTCTATGCTCTTTTTTGCACTAAAAGAGTTATACTAATACTTTATCATAAAAATTTTTATTACTGTTTTTACATTTGTTTATCAAAATAAAAGTTTTAAGAAGTCCTAAATTAATATAATTCAATATACATTGAATGCTACCATTTCATATCTTTCTTATTTTATTTAGTTGATTATTATTTTATTCTGTGATGCTATTACCTATTTTTTTTTATAGAATCTTTAGGAAAATAAATTAAAATTTTGAGTCAGCATTGATGTTTTATCGTTTGTAAAGGTTAAACTTTGTTATGAGGAATGCAGTTCTTTTCTTTTATTTTTTTTATTCTTTATTCAATAAGTATTTTAATTTAAGTAAATAAGATTATAATTTGATATTTTATTACGAGATAAGTATTTTTATATATGAATATATAAATCGTTTTAAATTTTTTAATGTCATTTTTAAATCTTGTTTGCACAATTCAATTTATACATATTTATAGTTTGCATTTATGTTTTTATTATTTTTAAAGTTTAATAAGTTTTCGATAATATTTGTTGTATAATAATTTTATAAATGTGTTTTTATAAAAGTATAAAGTTTATTTTATCCAATGTGTAAATAATTGTTGTATAAGGTGTTTATATATGTTATATAAGGTTAAATAAATATATTATGATAATGCAGTCGTTAACTATAAGCAATGACATTGCTGATAGGGAGTCAAACTAAAAATATTATTTATAGATAAATTTTTAATTTTGTTTCTTTAGATATATCAAGTTATTGTGTTTTTATTGTTATTAATGATTTAATTACTAATAAACCGTATTACGGGTTGCTTACTGCTAGTATATATAATAGTGAGTTGTTATATTTTTTAAAAAGAGTTTTATTAATGTAGTAAAAATTGCTATTTATTTACTCTTAATTATTTAATTTACTATTTAATTACTCTTTTTTAATTTTCTCTCCTCCCAGAGAGAGAAAGAAAGAGAGAGCAAGGGAGGAGGGTTAAATAAATAAACGATAAATAAACGGATTGAGAGAGTGTTACTTACAAAGTAAACTTGCCCCAGGTTTATCAAATGCTATTAATTAAAATACTTTATTGCAATGTTTTCTTGAAACTAAATATTGATATTTATTTTTTGAAAGTCGAGAAAATGGTGCACCATGGTGTATTTGTGTATGTGTGTACATTTTTTACAATTGACGCGTGAAGTCTTCTTTTTAAAAAAGATCTCTATTTGTAAAATATATGTTTAAGCATGTAGGCTTTTTAAAGGTTAAGCATTTTTTAGGTTAAGCATGTAGGCTTTTTAAAAAAATGAAATTTTGTTAAGCAAAACCGAAACTATTAAGAAAAATCATTAAAACAAAATGCTTATTACTGAATGTTTTATTAAATATCTGTAAAGTTAACGAAAAAAAGTTGTCAAAATCTAATAATTTAGAATACCAAAAATATATATTATGTATATAAATTACTATAAGGCAATATGCCATTTGTCATAAATTAATCTATTGTTACAAAAGCCATTTTATAAAACCGCGCTTAAAAAAAAAAAGGCATTCAAAAATCTTATGTAAAAAAGTCTCCTCAATTTTTAGATCAAAAGAGAAGCGTGAATTCATAAAAGAAATGAATATAAAAAAGCGAAAAAGTTTATGAAATTGAAGGAGCGCTACGATAATTACTGTGGCTATCTTTTAAAAAATTAATAAAATCATCTTCTCCGTCACTGAAGAATACACCTACGTCTTCTGTTACATTTTTTTGATTTCTATAAGAGTTTTCGTCAACCATCAGTGCAGTTTCAGAGCAAGATAATTTATCGGCCGAAGAGAATATTGTAGATGAAATGCAAGGTTGATTCTTTTGCAAATTCTGTATAAATGAAAGAACTTGATCGTTTAGTTATACCGTTGTATTGTTTAATCGTTTAACACGTCTTAAACAACTTTATCAATAATCAAAAATATTAAAAATGACCACGTTATATTACCTATTCATTTGGAATTTCTAAAATTTTATTAACTGAGCAAATGATAATTCAACAATTGATGACAAGTGATGTCAAAGACGATAATGATGTTAAATGAAAAAGGTTTTGATCCAATTAAAAAAAAAAGTTATAAAATTAATGAAAGGCTTAATCGCCACCACAAGCAGTATTTATATTTTATAAAAAATATAGCCATGACGTAAACTGATTTACAACCAAGTGCAATTTGCAACTAAAAATACCTGTTTGTGGCGATTTCTATTTTTAATTACAACTTAAAAACATATTTTACATATTTAATAAATTTAACTATTTTATTACGTATCGTCGTTTACATTGGCAACTGATTACGTATCGTCGTTTGCATTGGCAACTGATAAGTATTCAGTTTCACTGAAACGGTCTGTATATTCTTGAATATTGCATTCTATTTCTTCGTCATCACTGCTACTATTCGAAGGAAGGTATTCAGAATGTAAATCTAATGGATTGTTATTGGAAAAATTTTCTATTTCTCGTGCAAGATTTTCAACTTTCTTTAACAAATTTGGACCCCGAGGCGCTAATTTGTGTTCAGGTATCGAAACGGTTGTTGTTGTTTTAGTTTCTTTATCAACAATCTTTCCGTCTGGAAACTTTATATTTTGAATTTTATTCGTTCGAGTAGTTATTTGAATGCCTGACTTGCAAACCTCTGATTTATTCTTATTTGAGACAATAATTGTTTCTCGCTTTTCAGATAAAGGAAAGCTTGCACGATTCTGCGCAATGGTTGAATAAGGAACATTTGATATAAAAGAATTTTTAGGAGATGATAAAGATCTGATACTCTTCAATGAGCTAGCTGACTTAGAGTTGACAGAATTAATAGTACCTTTTGTTAAAGAATTTTGTCGGTTTGTTGCGTCAACAGGAGGAGTATTTAAAGATGAACGACGTATGTCTGATAACGACATTGAACCATTACTAGATAAAGATTCAGGTCCAACAATTCTTGGCTTTTTCATTTCTTTAATCAATAAACTTACAGGTCGTTGTATAGGTTTTGGAGGAGCCTTTTGAACACTACCTTTTTCAGAAGTGAGTTTTTTATTTGAGGAATTCGGCTTTACTTTATCCGTGAAACCACCTCTTTCACCCACACACCCACCTGCAATTATATGCAAATCACCTATGTCAGCAGTCAACTTACTAAGGTCTTTTGAACTGACAATCATGCTGATAGGACGGGCACGACTGCTACTCTGTACCACTATTAAATCAGAGGTAAACTTGCGCTTTTCTTTGTTTTCAATAGTTTCTACAGGTTTCGAATTATCGTTAGACAAATGATTAATGTTGATTAAAGAAACAGGTCTGCGCTTAACTGCTTTATTTGAAACATCTTTTTTTGCTGAAGTTTGATTAGAAGTTATTCCAACAGTTCCTATTGGATGGATTGGATTGGTGGGTTTTTTAATTGGTGATTTTGCAGAACATTGCAATTTTGTAGAACGATTTTTCAGATTAGAAGTGCTAATCACTTCTTCTCTTTTAAAATGACCTTTTTTAAAAGAGCAGTCAGGCGCAACAGTCGACTTAGTATCAGTATTATTTGCAACCGCTAAATTTCTGCGGATGTTAGCAATATGGTAACCACATGAAGGTTTAGGTAAGGGAATTCGACTTACAGATTGCGATGGTTTATGAGCAACCTTTACCATGTCATGTGATGTATTTTTTAATGATTCATTTAAAATTCGTTTATTTCTTACATGATGAAGTAAAGAAATTACCACTTGAATTGCTAATGCAATCCCTCTAAGTCTTTGACGATTAATCTTGTTTGATTCTTCAGCTACCGACATTTCACAATGTAACTTTTCAGAAGGTCTGGTCCATTTCTAAAAAAACAAAAAATAATTTCAAGCAAAAACCTACAAAAACTCTGAAAAAAGTGTCTGCACTAAAAAGACACCTACCTTGATCCAAAAATGTTCTAAAACTTCATATGACTCATAACGCTCACTTGCATCTACTACCAACAAACGATCAATTAGGTCCTAAATAATTAAATCATTCTAATTCATGTTTTGTTCATATTTTCGTTCAGATTCTTACAGTAATTTTTAATTTACCCTTTTTTTTTTACCCATTTTTTAATTGTTACTTATTACTACTATAGTAAAAGTATATATTTTACTCTTGGTCCATCACTAATATCATCCCAGAAAGGCGATAAGTACTCAAATTCTCCTCCTAATATTTTCTCAAAAAGTTCTTCTTGATCATGATTTGCACTAAAAGCGAAAAACAAATTTTATGACATTTTTAAAAATTTTCAGAAAGTATATTTTTTTAAAGATGAGAGTTACCATAAAAGTATGAACATATATTATCATATATATATATATATATATATATATATATATATATATATATATATATATATATATATATATATATATATATATATATATATATATATATATATATATATATATATATATATATATATATAAATGTTTAATATTGTTGCGTAATTAAATTTTAAACCACCTGAAAGGTAGGAATTCCTATAAAAGTGTAAACATATTTTCTAAAAGGTGGAAACATACCTTCTAAAAGGTGGAAATCCACACAAGAGTATATACAAAATAACTCCTATTGCCCAACAATCAACTTTTAATCCATATCTAAAAAAAATTTTTTTAGATAAATTCTAAACATTACCTAAATATATGTTTATATATTACATTATATACAATTATATATTAAACACATATTTTAAAAAACACACCCTGATTCATCAAGAATTTCTGGAGCCACATATGTAGGTGTTCCACACACTAAATACATGGGAGAATCTACTTCTACAGAAAGACCAAAATCGGCTAGTTTGATTGATTTTCTTCCATCTGATCGACATACAACCTAACACAATACAGGTCTCAATAATCTCTCAAGACTTCATTTTACAGTTATATAGAAATAAAACTGAGTAATGATTTACAAGTAAGTTTTCTGGTTTAATGTCCCTGTGAATGATGCTCTTTTCATGTAAGTACCTGACAGCCATTGCCAGATCACAAATCATTAGAGCTGAATCAGGCTCAGAAAAACGGGTGTTAGCAACAATTGCATCAAACAAATCTCCACCCTAAAAAATAACAACTTTTAAAAAGATTTATATATAATGCTAAATAAAAATAAAAACAACTTTAAATATAAAAACATTTTCAGGAAACTTAATAAAAATCAAAGCAAATATGAGAAAAAAACAAACAAACAAACTGTGACAAGCTCCATAACAAGAAATATTTCTTTAGCTGTTTCGTATTCGTCAAAAAGTTTAACGATGTTTGGATGACTGATTTTTCGAAGAATTAATATTTCATTTTCTATCATGTGTTCCTAATAAATTGAAAATTCAAAAAAAAATAAAAAGCTATTAAACAACAACAATATCTAGAATCACAAATCACAAACCTTTCCTTTTACTTCTAGAATCACAAATCACAAACCTTTCCTTTTACTTTTGCTTTGTTGATTACTTTGAGAGCATATGATCGCTGCGTTTTTCTAAAACAAAAAAAAAATTACTTTGAACTCTTTCTAAAATGAAAAAATAACAACGAATTACCTCAAAAAACAACAACAATAAATTTGATATTTTTATTAGGTAATTGTTAAACATCATCACCTATCTCTACATTCACGAACAACGGCAAAGTTCCCATCTCCAATAATGCGTCCAATTTTATACGAAGAGTGCACAGACTGTTTGTCTCGCTTTATTCCAAACATTGAGTTTAACTCATACTCGGTCTCTAAATGTTCAAAAAAGCAACATGTATACAAAAAAATAATACTTATTTGCGAATTTACTTTTACACTATTTTTTTACTTACCTTCGTCCTCGCGCATTTTATAAAAAATAAAGTATAAACAAATGAATCATTAATTCTTTTAATTATAGGATTAAAAAAAAAAAAAAAAAAAAAAAAAAAAAAGACTTATTACGAGAATTTTTAATTTTAATGACGACTTTAGCATCGTCCACATCGTAACAATCCAGAGTGATTAAAGCCATGATGTGAAACCACCCCACAGGTTATGATCTTTTCTTGTTCAAAATATTTATAAATCGTAACAAAAATCACCATGCTAACAAAATATTTTTTTTATGTTTATTTAAACGAAGTGATACTTCGTTTCTCGATTTTTTTAACATATCGTAAAAACTCAATTATTTATAAAAAAAAAAAATCCTTTGCACCTGCCAGAAAAATTCATTCAGCAAAACGAAGACGATTCAAAAAGCTGCAAAAACCCTTTCTTTTTATCTTGGCGTACTAAACGCAATTGGTAAACTTGTTTTTATTTTTATAAACTAAAGCTAAGCAGAAAAATAGCGAATGGCTATTTAGTATTTTTTTTTAAATCGCAATCTTCACAACTTATCAAAAATGCACTAGCATGTTTTGTGAAACACAAATAAACGCGAATTGTTATTTGTTAAAAAGATAATTTTTTAAAATTCACTATCTTTACAATTTAATAAAAGAATGTTAGAATGTTTTCTAAAACGCAAGAATGTTAGCTAGAATGTTTTCTGAAACGCAATTAAAAGCGAAACTTGACAACTTACAAAAATCTAAATTAGAAAAAAATTCAACAAGCAATAATTTTAAATTACATTTGAAAATTGTTTAATCTTCAATAGCTTTGAAAACTTTTAAGTAACGTGGCTTAAACCGCAATGAAATACCAATTTATCGGTAATAGAAGACTTTCTTTTTTATAATGAAATATTAAAAAGGTAATTTTTGTTTACATATTTAATTGGAAAAATCTTTTATGTGTTTGGAATTTTTTTTTGTTTACATCAATAATTTTTGCTAATGGTAACCGTTGACGTAATAAGCTAGTAAGTTAAATCGTTATAGAATTAAGCCTATAGATACGGTTAGATCGTTCAAGTCAGAAATTAACGAAATACTTTTAAGAATTATTAAATAAAAACATATTTGGACCCGATAAATTGATAATAAAAAAAACTTTTTAAAGAACAGCGCAATTTTCCAAATCTAGCGTTAAGGTGTCAGTTTTCAGTGATAAAAATACCGATTTTTAAATTCAGTATTATCTAAAAAAAGAAAAAAAAAAGAAACCTTCTATGCTAAGTAAGTTTTTCTTATAACAAAGTATTACGTACTAGACTGTGCAGTTTCAAAAGCTTCATTTGAATGTAGCGAAAAGCTAAAGAGATGCAAAAAAAAAAAAAAAAAAAAAAAAAAAAAAAAAAAAAACCAAAACCAAAACGCAAGGATGCTTAAGGTATACATACAAAAGATATTCAATAATAAAGGATTATATTTTTAATATAATTGTTTTTCGATTTCTCTATCATCAGATTCAAATTATATATATAAAAAAACAAAAATTAATTATATGATTGAATGACAGTAATCTAATGACAAATCTAATAATTTTTTATGTAATCTGGTTAGCGAAATAATTTTTTTTTTTTGATCGGTGGTAAAAAACTTTATAGTTTTATTCATACAAACAATAGATAAAACTTCAGGAGCTCTCTGTAGCCTAATGTTGCGTTTTTAAACGAGATAAAAAATGTTTTGACTCGTTTAGCTTCATCAATTACAAATAGCACAATTTCTAGTCTGCAGCATCTGTTGATTCGCTCAACTTTTTTAACTAACTGTTTATTTACACAACTTTTTTTTCAAATTAGTTCTAGAATTACATTTCATTTCAGACTGAAGTATTATCAAAAATTCATCTCTACTTTTAAAAAGTGAAATTAGAAATGTGGTGAAAAATGTAGAAATAACTATAATATTCCAATGCAAGATATTTATTAACTAATAGATGCAATTAGCACCGTTTTCTTCTAATTTTGTTTAAGAAACAAGTCTTTAATTAAAAAGTAAACAACACTTTTTTTTTGCTTTTTGAATGTATGTAATCGTAGTATAAAAGTTGTCCTAGATGGACAGCACTCTTTTTTATTTTCTATAACTTCAGGGGTTTCTCAAGGTTATATCCTTAGCCCTATACTTTTTTTAATTTACATTAATAATCTCCCTGAAATTCTCACATATAAGGTGGCATTGATCGCTGATGATACTACCATTTATTCTTGTCTTGATAAGAAGCCCACACTCTCTGATAGCTTGAAGGAGGCATTTAAGCTTGAAAAAGTTCTCACTTCTGTTGCAGCATTTTTTTCGGCTAATCGTTATCTCTACAATCTAGATCTTCCTATATTTATGAACGTCAATGTACTCGAAGAGTCATCTACCCTTCGTCTTCTAGGATTAACTCTTACTTCCGATCTTATTTGGAAACCATATATCAAATCCATTGCAAAATCAGCACCTACTAAGATTGCATCTTTTTATCGTGTTCACCATTTTCTTACTCCGGATTCTATTCTTTATCTCTATAAATCTTAAATCCGTCCTTGTATGGAATAATGTGGCCATATCTTCAAATGATGACTTTTCTCTTTTAGACAAAGTACAAAAACACATTGTAAACATAGTTGGATTTGCAATTGCAGCTAACCTTCAGCCATTATCACATCAACGTAATATTGCTTCTCTTTCTCTTTTTTATAAATACTTTAATGGGCGCTGCTCTAAAGAGCTAACGTTTTTAGTGCCATCTACTAAAATTCATTCTCGTATTACTCGTCATTCTATGAAGTCTTACCCTTTTTTCTGTGACTGTTCCTAAGTGCTCCAAAAATTCTCATTCGTCTAGTTTTTTTCCTCAAACAGCAGTTCTATGGAAATTGCTTCCTTAATCTTGTTTTTCTGATTCATGTAATTTGCAATCTTTTAAGTCGTCTGTCAATTGTTATCTTGCTCTATAAACTTCATCTTTTCTCTTCCAGTAGCTTCCAACTCTAAAAGTGGTAGCTTGCAGCTTTTTGGAAGTGAAGATTGAGTTACTCTATTACTATCTGTGTAACTATTGAGTTACTCTATCACTATCTGTGTAACTATTTGTGCGGCCGTGGCGCAGTAGTTAGAGCGCTTGCTTTATAAGCAGGAGATGCAGGTTCGAAACGAGCTCTGGACATATTTTCGCGTGCTCTGTAACAAGACCGTTAGGTCTTCTTGGGGAACCTAAAAATAATAATAATAAAAAAAAAAAAAAGTTTAGTGACCAGATTTAAAACAAATTTCCTGTAGCATTGTAAAAAATAGAGTTTGGCTAATCGAAATTACACTTAAAATAAAAACTCTGACTTAAAATTCTGGTTTAAATAAACCAAAATAGGTTTAATTTTTTGAATCTTATCGGTCGTATGTCAAACTTTGTGCTCTTTGCATGAGAATCAGTAAGATTATTTTCCACAAATTTTTAAACTGGTTAGAAATGTAAGATTATAACTTAAAGCTTGCAAAAAATAGTTCAATCTTAGTTTAGCATAATCATTAAATAAAAAATTGATTGTTCTTAATTAACTAAACAATTGTTTCATTATTTGGCGTTAACTAGTTAACTAACTATTTTTATTAAACAATTTGTATTAACATTATAAAGAAATTTATATTTAAATTAACTAAACAATTATTTCATTATTTAACGTTTAATTAACTAAACATTGGTTTCATTATTTGACGTTTAATCTTAGTTCAGTTGTATACCATTAATTACGAAGTTAAATAACATAGCAAAAAATAGTTAAAATTTTCCAAATATTTAATCGCGCTTCATTGTAGATATATTCATAAGTAAAAGATAACAAACAAAAAAAAAAAATTTTAGTTGGCCTTACAAAATTGAACTGAATGCTTTTTTATTAATCGCAAAATACTTGTTTTCCATAACTCACATTAATTATGTTGAAAATTATTTTCTATTAAGACATGGACAAAAAACTTTAAAATTCGTCAGTTAATTCCTTCTTGTGTAAAAATAACTTAGAAGTTCTGACAAGTTCATAAGTACGCTCGGATAGATTATTAAACCCTCTAAATAACGTACCTTCTATAGCATAACATACTCCTTATACATTCAACAAACGTTATTTACTGAGATTTTTTTTAGCATACTTTAAACGTATCTTAAATATAATTTTTAGGTATACTTTAATTTTTTAAATATCATTTAAAACTAATTTTAATTGATGTCTTATAAAGTTCAAACTTAAATAAAATTTACCCTACAAGCATCAAGTTATAACAAGCATCAAGTTAGCATCATGTTTGAAATTGTTTGTTTTTTTAAGTGTGATGTATTGCAATAGGCAGATGTAACATTAGATACATTTCTGCATTTTTTAAGTAATATTTGAAACTTTTGTGGATTAAGAACAACAACCTGTTTGTTATTTAACAACCTGTTTGTTAATCGTCGCAATGTTATTTATACTATATTTTCAAAAAATGCTTTATTACAAACAAAGCGATTATTTATCCGTAATACTTGTTTTTTTAATTTATCCAAATGTCTTTTTTTAATCTTACTAACATTTTTTCAATATAAAATTACAAAAAGTTCTCTTTTAATTAAAAGACCATAATCTAAAATATTCATATAAGAATTCTTTAGGTTTTTGTCACAATTCTAATTGATATTGTTCAGAAACACAAGAAATTGATAGAATGTTAAAGAAATCGTGCAAAAATATTTTGGGACAAGATTAAAAAACATGAGAAACTGACAGAATATCCTAGAAATCATACAATAAAATTGTTAAAAAATGTTTTCTCCACAATAAAAATTTAATTCACATTGTTTTAGATATATTAATTTCATTATTTAAATGTCTTGAAACCTTTACGTATTGCAAGATTATGTAACGTTCATAATTTAAATGTCTTTTTAAGTAGTTTTAGATTTAATATCGTTTTTATTTTTTTATTACAATAACTTTAAAACTAAGCATAAAAAAAATTAAAATCCTTGCATTTAGATTTATTTGTGTTTCATATATCTCGTATGTCATACTGTTGTTGATCGTCATATTGTTGTTGATAAACGTTGATAAAAGACATCTTTTCTGTCTCTAAATTCAAACCAATATTTATGTTCGAGAATATGAACTAATGTTAAACCAATGTTGATATTCGAGAGTATTAACTAATTTTAAATCAATGTTGATGTTCAAAAGTATGAACTAATGTTAAACCAATGTTGATGTTAGAAAGTATGAACTAATGTTAAACCAATGTTGATGTTCGAAAGTATGAACTATTGTCAAAGAATTTGTTCGGCTTAAATGATCTTTCGAATTATAGGAGTTGGGGTTACAAGATTTTAATTAATTATACTACTTTATATAAGTAAAACAGTAGAACACAGTGAAAACAGGAAATTTAATGGTATAGTTATAAAAATTTACTAGACCATGACAGTTAGGATGTCATCATATACTAAATTTATTCTCAAAACATGTTTTCACTTTGTTAGTCATAAATCAGCAACTCCTGGTTTTAAATATAATTTTGGAAAAGAATTAGCAGCAAATTATAAAAATCTTCAAAAAAATTATAAACATGAAAATGCTTATTTAAACAAACTTTAATTAAGAAGATGATTTTCAAAATCTTCTATGAATTATGTGAAACTATTGTATATCCTTAATGCATGCTTTATTATACCAACACGAAGAGTGAACTTGAAACTGAAGCAAACTTCCTTTTTAATCATAAATCATATTACTATATGCTTAATGCATTGCATGAAATCAAGTGCCCACCTGCTTTAAAAGATTTCACAAAATAATTAAGGAAAGAAGAGAGTGCTATAAACATATTAGGGATAAGCATTATTGTTAAACAAGGAGTCAAATTAATGGAAGAACTCTTACAATTCAAGAAATAGAAATGTGCACATGGAAAATGGAAAGGATGTGAGCTCTATTAAAAACTTATTTAGTTTTAAAGTCAATTCTGTTATCAACCAATATGTCAAAATAAATATAGCTATATGAGTTTTTAGAAAATCTATAAGTATTAGATAAATGGATTTAAAGCTTTTTATTATCCAATTAAAATTTATTGATTTTAAATTTTACCATGCAGTGATTTAAAGTTTGTCACATTCTTGAAGACTGGGCTCAATTTACTTTTTTCGGCCTTGCAGTAAAAAAAATAAACGGAATTTTTTTTTTTTTTTAAATGGATTTTAAATGAATAAGGGGTGACATTCTCGCTACTAGATTTTATATATATATATATATATATATATATATATATATATATATATATATATATATATATATATATATATATATATATATATATATATATATATATATATATGTATATATATATGTATATATATATATATATATATATATATATATATACATATATACATACATATATATTTGAATATATATATATATATATATATATATATATATATATATATATATATACATATAAGAATGCAGCATTACACGCACATTGATGATGTCATACTAAAATATGTAGCTGAAGGGGCTTCAGTGCATAGAATGACTGACATGAGATATATTTACCTTGTTTGATCTAGATAGAACATGGAAGGGATTGCCGTTACTGCCCACTGAGCAGCAACAGTGTTTTTTTTACAAGGAAATCATGTCCTTATAAACATACAGAAACATATTATCCATTCAAGTCTTCAAGAATGTTGCAAAAATATATATATATATATATATATATATATATATATATATATATATATATATATATATATATATATATATATATATATATATATATATATATATATATATATATATATATATATATATATATATATATATATATAGGAAAACAAAAATGAAAGGTTAAAAGGATATACAAGTGAAAACATTGTGTTTTATCTAAAATCTTATTAATCTAAAAATATATTGAAGTCATAAAGTCTTCTTTTGTAAAAGTACTAACTGCCTAAGGATCTTTTTTAAACAATTATATATATAAAAAAAAATTATATTAAAAATCATTATAAAACAATTTGGATAACAACATGTTTTATGTGCTACAATTAAAAATACTTAAATTTTTCCGAACAAGGAAATAATATGAAATACATTAACAAATAACAGAAACTAAAAACTAAAAAAAAAAAACATTCCTTAATGCGTAATTTTGGAAAGATTAAAAAATTTTTTTAACTATTTTTATCTGGAAATTTTTATTTTTATTTGTTACTTTTATTTTTATTTTTATAGTTTATTTTATTTATATTAGATGCTATTATGTTAAATGTTTTATTTACATATTTTTAATAACTGCGTTTAAAGTTTATTTTAAAAGTTACTTATTATAATATTGTCTAATAAGAAATAATTTATATTTTTATTGAGTAATACAACACACGCTATTATCATATTGTTGTTTTCTCTTTCGAGCAAGACGTGATTTATAGAATTGTCTTTCTTCTTCAGATGTACAATCCTCACTATATTCCATGTAATGATAACCTTTTCGTGTGAAACTTTCCTCGCTATTTGTTTTTAGTGAATCATCGTCATTAATACTTCCACTTAAACTTTCATTAATAAATGTACTATAACCGCTTTCATTTTTATCTTTTATCTTAAGGAATTCTTTCGGATTGGTTGTGTCATTATTAAAATCAATAATTTTATTTTTACAACTAGATTCTTCAAGACTATCAGGAGAGTTAACGTCAAGTGGTTTCACAATTACTTCTGAGGAAACAGTGGGTTTGGTTAAAGAACACTTTGGACAAGGTTTCTTTTCAGATTCTCGTAATTTTATATCAATCATGAGTCTTTCTTCCAATTTTTCTAATGCTTCTTGCAACTGTCTAGTTAAGAAACGTAACTCACGGTTTTCTTGCTCCAGTTGTAGTCTTGTAAAACGCTCTTGCAAGTCCTCTCCATTAATATGAGGTAAATCTGATTCAGGTAAGCTAAGTGTTCTATGTAATCTCATTTTCGATGAAACTCTACTGTTGGAACAACTTTCATCTTCACTAAGACATTTTGATGCTTTTGATAAATTACTTTTTGGAGTTGAGTGAACAATTTTGCCACTATTTTCACTGAAAGATATTTGACTTTGGTTTAACGACGAAAAACCAGACCGGCTTCCAAATGACTTCATTGATGATTCAAAATCACTCAACCAAACAGTATTATAAATATCCATAGCACAGCGCTTCGTTTTTCTTCCCTTTGTGACCCTGGCTAAAATGAAATTATCTCCGTTCGATCTACTATTAATACTATAATGGGTATATGCTTTAAAAATAACTTTTACAAGACGAAACAAATGAAATAAAAAGTTTAAAAAAATCCAGTGGCATGAAAATCCAGTGGCATGCAGTAAAGTCACAAACAAAGAGAATGAACATGCATCACGCAGGTATATGTATTATTTGTTCTAGCTTCAAAATGTTTGCACACGGGATATCATTTTAGCCAGAGACAGCTATGCTGACAATTTGTGTCAACTGAATAGCCTATCAAGTTTTTGATTTTTTTATTGATCTCAGGGTGTCAGAGGATGACTTTCTTCGCCTACGATAAAAAGCATGAGATATATTTAGCTTGTTTGTTACAAAGTAATACTGTTCAATAAGCTCTCTGGTCTGGTCTCTGTTACTTGATCATTATTTTGTTCGTTGAAAAAGTTGTCATTTCGTTGCAAACATTTTGAAATAGTTCTGTCTTTTAGTAACCAAATGTTTTATGACAAAATGTGGATATGAATGCGTCGTATTTACAGTGTAAAAATTTTAAGTTATTTTAATTTTTTAAATTTAAGCAAAATGCATTATAGGTCTGAAAATTGAAAAAATATATAAACAATATTTAAAAAAAGATGTAAATTTATCACTTAAATTTACCTGATTCCGATGATTCACTTTCAAATACAGATGTTGGATATCTAAAAAAATTTTAAATGTTGTAAGCTTATAATACAGATGTTGGATATCTAAAAAAATTTTAAATGTTGTAAATTTATCAATAAAAACAAAAAATAACCCAATAGAAACATGGAGATACTCAAAATTTTGTGTAAAAAAAGTGTAGAAAAGTTGAGAGATAAAATTAAAAAGTATAAACTTGTAAGAAGACTCCTTTATAACATTCAAATTTTTAACCTTCTTTCAGAATATTGTAAAATATTTGAAAAATATTTGTTTAAAACATATTTATTAAACATCTTAAAGAGATTTTCTTATTCTTATGCAACAATACCAACAATTTATCATTTATATCTATTATAAATGATAAATCGTACATTTTGATATATTATACATTATTGAGTATAGCTTAAAAAAAGAACTTTAAAAAAATACAATTTGTAATTATTTTTAAAACATGATATTGTGTAAGAGTTTACTGAAAATTTTTATGATCAAAAAAATATTTTGTTATTAGAAGTTTGAGGTTTACAATGATTAGGGTGGTTCATAAAACAACTTTTTTGAAAATAATCTGCTCTCACCCCCTAAATGTGTTCTATCTATTACAAAAACACTAAGTTAAAATTTTTTTTGAATAAAAAATATTTTAAGGGGTGCCACATGACCCTCGAATATTTAATGGGTCCCTAATATTTTCAAAAAAAAAGTTTTTCAAAAATATGTCAACCTGGTACTCAAATGAAGCGAAATTATATAAAAATTTCAAAAATAATTTTCATTTCGAAAAAAAATTGTTATTTTTGTTCAATTACATAAAAAATTGCGTTTTTTTACAAAAAATTTAAAAAATGCATTTTTTATGATTTATTTTCATAATTTTGATAAGTTAAATTTTTTTCAAAATGAACATTATTTTTGAAATTTTTATTTAACTTTGCTTCATTTGAGTACCAGGTTGACATATTTTTGAAAAACTTTTTTTTGAAAATATTAGGGACCCATTTAATATTCGAGGGTCATGTGGCACCCCTTAAAATATTTTTTATTCAAAAAAAATTTTAACTTAGTGTTTTTGTAATAGATAGAACACATTTAGGGGGTGAGAGCAGATTATTTTCAAAAAAGTTGTTTTCAGAACTACCCTAACAATGATAAATTGTAAAAAACTTCTAAAAAACTTTAAAGAGCTCTTTGATAACTATATTTGACTCATTATTCACAAAATTATGATTGGTATATAATTCTATATTGCAACATTGTGATTGGTAGATGATTCTGTAACTTTTGTTAAATTAATAATAATACATGGTTTAATCAATCATTTACTTATAACAACATACAAAAACCATTTAATTACACAATGGCAACCATTTAATTACATGACAACAACTTACTTACAACCAGGGACGTGGTGGCCCCAGAGGCCATGCGGAATTACCGCATGGGCTTTTCACTTTTTTATTTAGATATGGGCCTTTTAGCATTTTTTAATCCAAGTATGGGCCTTTTAGCAATTTTTACTTTTTTTGACATTCTGAAAAAAATCCATTTATTTTTAAAATAAAAAAGCAACTAAATAGCATTTTTAGAAAAATATGAAATACTTTCCAATTAAGTAACAGCTAAATAAAACTGCAATTTAAAATTTTTTTATATTCAAGGTTTGTCAGCTGCGGTATAATTTTTAGAGCGCTGTGGTGTGTTTTTGCTTTGAAAAAAACGCTATTTAAAATGCAGAATTAAATAAAAGTGTAAACTATAAAAACAGTTTTTCAACTCATTTTTCAAGAAAATTTTTTTTTTTAAATTTTTATTTATATAAAGTAATAAAATTTATATTGTAATAAAATAAATAACATTACATAATTAAACTAAAATTTTTGATTTGGGGCTATTCTTTAAACAAAAAAATAAAAATCCTACTTGGTTACAATAACTTGACAGCAAAGTTGTATTTTAAAGAAATCAAATCAAAAACATGGTCGCTGCAGCGCAATGTTGCCATTTTTAGTTTCAAAGTATTACAAACTTCAACTTGTTGGTTTGTATTATAAACATCTACTTAAAAAATAAACGCTTAAAAACTAAAATTGGAAAATAAAAATATATTTGTATAACGTAAATTATTATAAATATATTAAATACATAAATAGTTAAGTTTACTTATTACTTTATTAAATAAAGTAACAAAATAATTTTATTGATTGTTTGCAATAAACCCATTTTATTTAAACTATCAAAGAATATTATAATTAATTACTTTTATGTAAATATGACATATTTATATAAAAGTAATTACATATAATATTCTAAAAAATATTTAATGTATTTTTTTTACAAATCTTTTTAAACTTTTTCAACGATTAATATTAAAAAACTTTGGTGCGAAAGCAAACATGTAATATAACTCAAATTAGTGTAATAAAAAATACTGGTTTCTATAAGCATTGATAAAACTAATGCATTAAAGTTTTTATAGAATAAATTTAAAAGGGGTTTTAAAAGTTAAAATATTTGTTTGAAATTCATAAAAATCCGACAAAAAGTAAAACAAATACTGAAATAAAAATTTATATTGATAAATAATTGCAACATTTTAATATAAATGATAAAAATTCGGTTACTTAATTCAAAAAAAAAATGTAATGCTTAGGCGTCTTTTAAAAAATAGAATTTTGTTAATGTACCTTCATTTTCTGTTTTGTAAAAAAAAAAAAAAAAGTTCAGAAAATGAAATTTGTACTGAAGTTAATACTAAATTTATTAATAATTTTAGAACAACTAAAATAATTATAAAATAAATGCACACAAAATATGGGTTGGACAAAATGACAGATAGATATCGTTTTTTAACAGACATGTATGGGCCTTTATATCCATCATATATGGTAAAATCCCACATATATAGGCTTTTTTAATAAAATCCCACATGGGCCTTTTAAAGCCACCACGCCCCTTGCTTACAACAACCATTTAATTACACTATGATAACAAATCAAATATATGCCAACAATTTACATACAACAACTATTTATTTACACCATAACACCCATTTAATTAAATGACAACAATTAACTTACAACACCATATAAAAACCATTTAATTACGCCATGACAACCATTTAATTATATGACATCAGCTTACAACAACATATGAAAACCATTTAGTTACACCATGACAAGCATTAAATTATTTCACAACTTACAACAACATATAAAAACCATATAATTACACCAGATAACTATTTAATATTTGACAACAATTTACTTACAACAACATATCAAAACCATTTAAGTATGCCATGACAATCATTTAATTATATGAATAAAAATAAAATTTTTTTATAAAAATTAAATTACAGTTCTTCATTGTTTTGTTCAATCTGTTTCATTGATGTACTTTTTGGACGGAGAACTAAACAAAATATCAGGTATTATTGAGATGAATTGAATAAAAAAAAGAAAGTATGAAAAAAAAAATGGATATGAAAAAGAAGATTAAGAAATTATGAAAAAAAAAAAGATAATGACTTTATCATTAAATATAACTTAAAAAATTTCAAACTCAAATAAGATAAAATTAAATTTAAAAAAAATATATTTTTATTATTATTTGACTTACCTTTAAGATTCATAAGCTAAAAAAAAACAAAAAAACTTGTTATTTACAATTAACAGCTATAAATGACCCATAAAATTTGTGTCAAATGCCAGATATAACAAAAAATTAAAAAGAAATTTCCCAAAAAAACTACACTACAACACTTTTCAACAATAACAAAATAACTAATTCAAATAATGAATAAATCTTTTTTTAAAAAAAGTTATAAAATATTACTAAGAAAATATTAAATAGTACTATTTAATATTTTCTTTTTAGAAAACATATTTATTTAAATATTTCTTCTACAAAAAAGAGTGCTCCATGTTTTTAAAAAAACAGAACAATAAATCTTTTTTATTTTATTTTACTGTTTTGTCAAAAAACTAATTACTATTCAGAAATGAATGAAAAATAGAAAAAAAAACTAAATTACATATAACTTCTCTGAAAATTCATGAGCTTTTTAAAAAACCAAATGATTAACAATTGTATATTAATACAGTAAAATCTAATTCGAATCTTCTTAATTTGAAAGTCTTTATAATTCGATTAAATGCCCAATCACCATTAAATGCACTTAAGAAACTCCTACGTTTAACTTTCCATAATTTCTATAATTCAAAAACTTGCACAATTCGAATGGATTTTTCAGACCCATCAGTAAGATTGTCTCTGCCTAACTCTATTAATTTCTTACATATAAAAAGTTGTTAAACCATCAAACTCTTCAAATTTAAAATGTTTTGAGTTTTTAACAAATAATTAGCATGTATTATCTTTCTGTTTAACAAAAATCACAGAATCAAAATGACAGAACAGAATCAAAATGACAGAACAAAAATCACAGAATCAAAATATAAAGAAAACAATTTAAAGCAAAAATAGGAAGTTCTGCTGAAATTATTAAAAAATAATAATAATAAAGTTCCAAAAATCTTATTTGAATGATATTTCATCAAACAGTCTTTTAACCTAGAAAAATAAGGTAAAACCTTTGACAGATTTTGTCAAGTAAATTTGACAGATTTAGATAAAAGTTTCAGATAAAAGTTTATACATAATATCAAGTTTATTCATAACAACAAAGCTGTACTTAAATGGTTTAAATAAATGAAAGCTTAAAGTTAGAGTATTTAGAAATAAATTAAAAGCTTAAGTGTTTTGCAATTAGTGGTTCGCTGCTAAAAGAAAAAAACTTTTGAGTTAAGCTTTAAAAAGCTATAAAACAATCTAAAACGAAATTCCTCAAATGAAAATGTATTTGACTCCTCCAAACAAGGATGCTCTTAAAAAATATGGTTTTTAAATTTTCAAACTTAAAACCCATAATAGTAATAATGTTTCCAATAACAATAATTAGAGTAAATTCTAATGTTAATAAATTCCTCATATTTAAATTATTAGTAATATTTGAAACAGACGGGCTCATTTTCTTATTAAAATACAATTTAATTTTTTTTTGAATATTAATTAATTTGTAAAAAACAAAACGAGAGAAAAATCTCAGTTAAGTATTATTAATTTTGGATGTTATATCAACTTCAGCCAAGTATTATTAATTTTGGTTGTTAAACCAATCAAGTGATGTATAGAACTAAATTAGTAGAAAATTAAAAAAATTTGATCAAAACTTCTTTACTTTAAAAGATATATATAAGATATATCACCTTGTTTCTCCAACAGCGGCCTTGTTCGTCAAGGTTTGTGTTTCGGAGTTATGAGAGTTGAAAGAGGGTTATAACCACAAATAAGTACCCTTCTCATCTGTAGTGGCCTTTTCGGAGGTGAATTTAAAAATATATATATATATATATAAATATATTTATACAATATAGTGTATATATATAAATATATTTATACAACATAGTGTATATATATAAATATATTTATACAACATAGTGTATATATATAAATATATTTATACAATATAGTGTGTATATATATATATATATATATATATATATATATATATATATATATATATATATATATATATATATAGAAATTTTTCCATATCTTCAGAAATTCAAATTTAAATAATTTTTTTTTATTAAAGACCTACATAATGTTCTTATGGGATAAACAGATTTTAAAAAAGAATTGCATTTTTTCACAAGTACATCCAGAGATCTAGTTAAGACAGTAAAGGACCACAACCAAAACTAATACCATGACAATTGGGCTCAAGGTCAAGACAAAGAGCAAGACTAAAGACTTTAAGAGCAATACCAAGACCAAGACATTAAAAAATCAACCCAAGACCAAGACTTTTCACAAAACCAAGTTTTCAAGACTTGGTTTCTTAGAAGTTCAACACAATAACACTCATGCTCAAACATGTAAGTATACTATTAGGTCTTGAGCTGATGTATTATTTTACCATTTATACACATAACCCTATACTACAATAAAACATAATTATACATGTATACTATAATTATGTTATTGCAAAATGTGCAGTGCATTGTTGTGGTTTACAAAAAAATATTTTTAATAATAACAGAAAACTAACAAGTTTCTGTATTGTTAAAAACAAAATGTACAAATAAGAAATGACGCAGGATCAAATACTAAGAAATAAAAATGGCCTCTACAAAAACTGGTTCAGAAACTTGTCAAGAATAAAAATAAATATGTATTTAAAAATATTTATTGCTATTAAACTATATTTTAAATATTTTATAATGACTTTAAGAAAATATCTTTCTGTATATCAAATGAAAATTATAAAAAAAAACTTTAAAAAAAAAAAAAAATCATAAAAATATGCAATACATAAAGGTAAAGGGAAAAGAAAATTTATATACAATAATAAAAAAAAAACTTGAAACTTTTAACATTTACTTCAAAAAAGTAATAAAAAAATAATAAATAATATCAAAATTTACATTGTCATTTTTGAAACAGAAAAAAATACCTTATTAATGGGTGTGCTGCTTGTATGACCATTAACTAAAAAGTAATAAAATAACCACATAAAGACAAAAAACTTTATATATATATATATAGAAAAATATAAAAGTGTTAACATATTAAATATATTAATTAATCAAATACTTGATGATAGATTTTGATTTTCATCTTTGTATTTACGACTTCGCAATGAACTTGACCTTTTCACTGTCATACTACTGGGCCGTTTAAGTTCTCTGTAAGGTGTGATACGGTAACCTATGGTTACAATGGTAAACATAGAATTTATAATTATATTATACAATGGTAAACATAGAGTTTATAATTATATTATAACTTATACTATATCGAATTATATTATATATAATATATGAATTATATATATTTATATATTATTATTATTATTATTATTATAAATATCAAAAAGCATCAGATTACAATATTCACTTTATCTATCAGATAATCTATTGTATAATATTTTTATGTGCATTCTTTTGTATTTATTACTTATAAAATACTTTGTTATTATTAGTCTTTTAATCTCATCCTCTAGAAAGATTTGTTTAGAAAGAAAAAATCATAAATTGCAGCTAATATAAGACAATCAAATACCTATACTAGATGTACCTAAAGATTTTGTTCTCTTAAAAATTTAGCCAAGTTCTCTGTAAGGTGTGATATGATAACAATGGTAAACATACTGAGAATTTTAAAAAAATCAATCAAGTTACTAAGTTAAAAACTGACATAATTATAAAAGTATTTGAAAAAAAAACTTTTTACTGTGATATTTTATGGTGACTTAGCATTTAATCAAATTATAGAGGTTTTCAAATCAAGGTGATTCGAATTAGAGATATTGTACTGTATTATATGTTGAAGGTTTTTCCATAAATAGTTTTTCCATTATTTTAACATATAATACTTATATATTAGTGATCCTATTTTTAAAATTGGCATCACAAATCTACATGAATAGAAATCAATGTCACAAATCTGATTAGATAAAGTTTTTTATGTCCTTGTTTCCACAGGTTCCACACTTATGTGTGGACAGTTTCCATAATGGCATTATATAATTAAAAGATGACATTATAAAGACTCGAGGTAATTTGATATATATATATATTATATATATATATATATATATATATATATATATATATATATATATATATATATAATAGATATATGTATATATATAGATATATATAGAAATAGATATATCTGTGTTAGTGTGTGTGCATTTGGTTGTTTCAAATTACCTCGAGTATATATATATATATATATATATATATATATATATATATATATATATATATATATATATATATATATATATATATATATATATATATATATATATATATATATATATATATATATATATATATATATATATATATATATATATATATATATATAAAATATCTTCTAAACTAAAAAAAAATATAAATATATGTATTATGTAAGTATTTTTTAGACAAGCAGTTAAGTACGTTAAGAATTTTTTTTTTTTATATAACTTCAATTATCCTACATTTAAATAATTAATTGTATTATTCATAAAGATAAATAAATCAAGTTTTCCAGAACTAAAAATGAGTAGTATGTATGAACTCCCTTATTAACAAATAATTAAATTTAATTTGCTTGTTTTAAAAAAAAATTGAGCATAGAAAGCATATAGTTAATAACATAAAAGATTTTACATATAAGGCTCTTACCAATATATTAAGTGTAGAAATAGCTTGGTGTAAGAAAAACTGCTTAAAATTTTAAATCTTCAAAATAAATCTAAACTCACTGTTAGGATCAAGTTCAATACCATCATCTGGAAACTTTTCATTTGCTTGTAACGCAATGAAAACAGTATCGTCATCAAAAAGATCTTTCAAACTTTTTACCTAGAAAATAATTTTTTTTTTAAACCTAGAAAATAAATTATTTTTTTTGACCTAGAAAAATTATTTAATTCATTAAAATCAAACTTTTTGAAAAAAAGGAATTTTTTGATGTTTGAAAATTTACTAAAGTCATAAGAAAAACTTTACAGATCCGCTTGAACAACACATTAATTGTTTTTCTTTTTGTTATTAGTAAAATAATAATAATAATAATAAAAAAATAACAATATATATCAAAAGTTTGTAAATTCATTTGAAAACCGCTAGAATACAGTCAGGACAAAATTGTGGCCTAAACAGGAGCAAGTCAAATGAAAACAAACATGATTGAGCGAGCTGAGATAATTTTAGGGTTTTAGTTGAGTTTGTATAAGGTCAAACTAAAACACTTAAGAACAATTATTTTTAAATATTTTCAGTTTTCAAAGAACAGTAGTTTTTAAGTGTACACTCTTGTATAGTCTTGTGTACACTCGAAAAACATGTGACATTTCATAAAAAATTAATAATTTATAAAATGATTTAAATAAGAAATAAATAAAGAAAAAATTTTATAATAAAATAATAATAAAGTTCATTATTCAGAAGATTGTTTAACAATAATAATAGGTAAAAAAAGTTGGAGCAAAGTAAAGAACAAAAAGGCTGAATTCTTTTACAAGTTCGTAAATTTCTTTTTGTCAGGTCAAGTTATCTTGCTACAGGTAACATGTAAACCAGTACAACCCACTTCATGTCCTAGAGCCTTGTAGGATATGCTTTTTTAGGCAAAGGCTAGAAGAAGCCAACTCTGACTTAAAACACCCCTTGTCTTGGGGCTCTCGGTTGAGTAAAGGCTAGAGATGACGTCTTGATAAAAATACTCATCTTGGGCAGATGCTAAATGCATCCAGGTACTATCTTGTAGAAGGCCACCTAGGCAAAAACTTAAGGGGTAAACAGATTCTATTTGATGACCAGCCTCACACCCGCTTCTTGATCTATATTAGATTGGCTCTCAGAGTGGCTGATTCCATCAACAGCTGTAAAATATCAGAGTAATTACAGTGCCATGTTGCGCATAGATGGTGTCCCTGTTCGTACTTATGGTGTGCATTGTCAAAGCCACATTTGGAGCCCATTTTTAGGTTTATTAATAGTAATGAGGCAATTGCTAGGACTATTAAATAATGCACTAAGTACTAAGAATAGTTTGAGTTTGGCTGTCTCATCTTGTGATCTTAGTGTTGATTGTTACCTCCCCTTAATTCCTAAAGACTCCAATAGTCCCATGCTCGGCATGGGCATTTACATTCGTAAGAATTCACCCATTTGTTGGGTAACTAGATTTGAGTCCACAGACTATTCTTTTATGTGCTTTCATTTAGCAACACTTCACTCTACCGTATTTTTCTTTGTTCTATATCACTCTCCTTCATCTTAAGACAGCACTTTTCTTGATGTTATTTCTGATCATATTGACCAAGCCCTCTCTCTTTATCCATCAGCCAATATCGTTGTTGCTGGTGACTTTAATGCTCATCCCACTGAATTGCTTAGCTCTAGTGTCAGTGACTCTGCAGGCATTAAGACCCACCACTTTTGACTTTCTCAATCTCTAACTCAAATATACAACTTTCCAATTGCTTTCCAGACAATCTGAATCATTTACCTTGCCTACTCGACTTATGCCTTGTTTCTAATCCTAGTCAGTGCTCAGTTTTTCCATATTTAGCCTTAGGTGTTTCTGATCACAGCTTGATCTCTTTTATCTATCTTTTTTAAAGCTGACTGAGACTCTTTTCTGTGATTTTCTTCGTGATGGCCCTTGGGTAGAGATCTTTTATTTTACTGCTGAAAGATGTGCTTCTTACATAACTTCTTGGATTCAGGCCAACACGGAATCTTTTGTTCCTTCTCAATGCTTTAAGTCAAGTCTCACTCTTCTCTATGGTTTTCCTTGCATTGTGTTGCTGCAATTTCCAATAGTAATCATTACTTCTATATCTATCAGCAAAACAATTCTCTAGAAAACAGACGTCTATTTACTATTGCTAGAAACCATTGTAAAAAGGTTTTGCTTACGCCAAAACCCACTACTCTCAGGTCGAAAATCTCATATTTCATCTCAAAAATTAGGCAAAAAATAACAGTATGTTCCACCTCTCTTGTATGGTTCAGATTTTGTAACCTCGCCTAATGGCAAAGCTGAATTGTTTGCTAAGAACTTTTCATCAATATCATCTCTTGACTCCACTAGTTGCATTCTACCTGATATAGCTGTCAAACAGGTTGATCCATTGCTTGACGTTCGTATCACTCCAGCTTCTGTATCTAAAGTGATTTCATGTTTAGACTCTTCTACAGCTTGTGGTCTGGACAACATACCTGTTATAGCCTTGCAGAAGTGTTCTCCGGATCTGTCAATTTTACTTTATTTAACAAAGGCTTATCAGAGTCTTGTTTTTCAGCCTGCTGGAAAGTGGCACCTAGTGGAACGCAACATCTGTTAATCGTATTTTCAAAAACTCTGGAGAGCAATCTGACTTGTATAACTACGTCCCATTAGTCTTCTTCCTATCACAAGCAAGATTTTTTAGTCTTTAATCAAGAAACACTTGAACCTAACCTTTTGGAAGCTCTTGAACCTAACCTTTTGATAGCTCTTGAACCTAACCTTTTGGAAGCTCTTGAACCTAACGTTTTGGAAGCTCTTGAACCTAATAAGTTACTTTCTGATCATAAATATGGATTTCGATCTTCTCATTCTACAGCTGATTTTCTAACAGTAATGACCGATAAGTTTTATCATGCATTAGATAGGTTAAGGCTATTGCCCTTGACATTTCTAAAGCTATTGATAAAGTTTGGCATGCTAGTCTTTCCCTTTATCTTTCTACTTACAGTGGATTAGGTGACATCTTTAATATTATTGAACCTTTCCTTACCAATCGTATTATTAAAGTTTTCCTCGATAGACTGCACTTTTTCTTTATATCCTATAACTTCAGGGGTTCTTTGAGGTTCTATCCTTGGCCCTAGACTCTTTTTAATTTGCATTAACGATCTTCCAGATATTTTCACATCTAAAGTGGAATTGTTCGCTGATGATACTACAATTTATTCTTGTCTTGATAAGAAGCCAACACTCTCTGATTGTTTGTAGAGGGCATTTGAGCTTGAACAGGATCTCACTTCTGCTTCAGCTGGGGCTCGCAGTGACTGGTTAACTTTAACTCAGATAAAACTCAATATTTTTCAGCTAACCGTTATCATAACAACCTAAATCTTCCTATATTTATGTACTTGATGAGTTGTCTACCCTTTATCTATTAGGATTAACTCTTACTTAGGAATTAGGATTAACTCTTATTTAGGAATAGCTCTTCATCTCTATTAATCTCAAATCCGTCCTTGTATGGAATAATGTGGCCATATCTGGAGTGGATCTTCTAATGATGCTCTTTCTATTTTAAATAAGGTGCAAAAACACATTGTAAACATTGTCGGACCTGCCCTTGTAGCCAACCTCCAACCTTGTGGTAATGCTGCTTCTTTTTCTCTTTTCTATAAATACTATAATGGGTACCACTCTAAAGAGCTAGCATCTTTTGGGCCATCTACTAAAATTCATTCTCAAGTTACTCTTCATTCTATTAAGTCTTATCCATTTACTGTGACTCTAAAAATTCTTATTCGTCTAGGTTTTTTGCTCGAACATCAGTTCTTTGGAATTTCCTTTCTTAATCTTGTTTTCCAGATTTATATAACTTGCAATATTTTAAGTTGTCTGTCAATTATTATCTTGCTCTATAAACTTAATCTTTTCTCTGCTAGTAATTCCTAAGTCTTATAGTGGTTGCTTGCAGCCTTGTTGAAAGTGAAGATGATTAAGAAAAAAAAAATTGTTCTTTGAAAACTGCTTAAAAATGCTAAAGTTGAAGACAAAAAGCATTTAAAACATTCAATGCAACTGAACAGACATGTTTTTTTTTTTTTTCAAATTTACTTCTAACAAAGCAATCACTATTTAAGTTAAGTTGAGTCAGAAAAACAGGAAGATTTTCAAAGTGTTGAAGTGTGGGAAAGAAAACTATACAAATAAAATTTTTTAAAGCATGAAGAGACAGGTACAGTAAAATGATAAGACTTAGTTGAATAACAAGTCAAGCAAGAATAACTTTTTGGTTGATGGAACTATAGATGATAGCTCCTTTGAGCAGGGATCATGATAGTATTTGTAGAAAAGAGAAAAAGATGCAACTTGACAACGATGGGAAATACTCAGGCTTGGATGATAGAGCAGGTCCAACTGTGTTTACAATGCAGTTTTTGACCTAGTCTAAAAGAAAAAGAGCATCAATAGAAAAACCACCACAAATATGATAACAATATTCCAGAGAATGAGAGATTTATAGAGGTAGAGAATGGAATCAGGAGTAAGAAAATGAAAAGCATGATAAAGAGATGTAACCTTAACAGATGCAATTGTTGCATATATGGTTTCCATGAGAGGTCAGTAGTGATCGAAATATCCAAGAAGATATAAAGAAGAGGACTAAGTGAGAGCGTTGTCATTCATCAATAAAGAAATGTTGAAAGTATTTCAATTGTTGTTTGCAGTAAATAACTAGGTTTTGTTGGAATTAAAATTTAAAAACCATTGCAAGCTCCAATCTGTTACAGAAGTGGATCAGATTCAAGATTAACTGCCTGTTCTAAGTGAAAAAGAAGACTTTTTGTCAAAACAGGAGTATAAAGTTGATTCAGCAAACAGATGCAAAAAAAAGTTGAGTCACTTTAGATGTAAGGTTGTCGGGAAGATCATTAATGTAGATAAGAAACAAAACAGGACCAAGGATAGAACCTTGAGGTACCCCAGAAGTTACCTGAAATGAAGAAAAGTGTTGACATTGATTTATTATTATTGATAATCATATTTATAGTTAATTGATAATCAGGCATTCATAAAGAATGAAATTACCTGGCAAAAACTTCTTTCTAACTCTACAAAATTTATT